AGAAACCAGACGGTCAATCTCGGACGTTTCCAAAGTTGATCCCTCTTAGTTAGAACTTTCAACTTATTATTATACATTTAGTAGATAACAGTTGGGTACTGAGTTATATTTTATGTGACTACATATTTCGGATTAACCCGTTTGTGTGAAATTATATTTTCTTAGGTACATGATATTTTTAAAACTTAGCTGAATACCGAACTGGTGAGCTACACTTTCTATCTCTCACCTGCTAATTTAGAGGAGCGTCTTCGTTTAGTAGTAATCGACTATTCCCTTCTACGCAAACAGCATAATGTTAATTTATTTTGAAATTATTTAGAAATTTAATGTGAAACGCTAATTTATATTTAGATACTTAACTTTACACTTTATAAGTTTGTTAATAATATATATATGCTTATTATTATTATGAATGATAAAGACTTAAAAATAAAAAAATAATTTGACGTAAATCTATCCTCAAAGAAAAAATATATTCTAAGTAGATCTTAATCAAAATAAGTTTGGCAAATAAATTCAAAAACTACTGGACCGATTTCAAAAATTTCTTTTACCATTACCCCTTATAACATAGGTTAATTTAAAAAGGATAAACTATAGAAGTCCAACCCGGAGAAGTATCCAACAGTGATTTTGAGATTTACGATGGAAATGTTTGTTTGTAAATGGTTGCTATTGGTTTTAATAATTATTATAATTAAATCGATACACCCGTTGGCTAAGTTGTACCTACTGCAGCAAGTTACACCAAAAAAGAGTTGAACAATCACAAGAGGAGTTGACATTTATTACGGGTATTGAAGTGTGCGGGATCAGCTATATTATAATAAATTAGAAGACATATGGCATATAAATTGTGAACAAATATATTTATTAAAAATACAAATCTTTGGCCTGGACAACGTTGGGCAGGATATAGTGTACTATATAATACATATTAATTATTATTATATATTATTATACATACCTATCAATTATTATTATATATTATTATACATATCAATTATCAAATATAACTTTTTTTATTTTAAGTTTATTATGGTTACATTAGACATTGAACATAATATTAATATATTTATCAAGAACACTAGGTATTCAAAACTGTATCCTCGATAAATCTTTATGTCTATAGGTTCCAGTCTTTCCAACAGTGTCACGCTATTATAATTATTATTTTTGAAATTTTTTTCTTAAAGGCATAAACTAACTACGTTGCAGTTTATTGGGTTTGAACGAATTATATTGGGCTTCGTCGAATGACGAAGTGAAACGTACTTAAGAGGACGCTACACCCGCATGTGTTGTCTATGTCTTACACACGTACGACATAGACAAAACGCGTTTAGGCAGTCTGAGTATAACTCGCTCGATTTTGGTTCTAGAGTAAAATGCCTATTATGAAATTGAATTGTGATAATATTTCCAAGGGCAAGACGCTGCGGTTTTTCCATTATACCCAATATAACGTTCATTATATCGTTTAGAAATAGAAAAAATTTCACCATTTTTAAAATACCTTTGACTTTTAAAAAATTAAATTTTTAAAAAAAACCGCAGCGTCTTGCCCTTAGAAATATTATCACAATTCAATTTCATAATAGGTATTTTTACTCTAGAACCAAAATTGAGCGAGTTATACTCAGACTGCCCAAACGCGTTTTGTCTATGTCGTACGTGTGTAAGACGGAGACAACACATGCGGGTGTAGCGTACTCTTAACAATTTATTAGTGTTCTCAAGGACTCGCTTTGTATAGGCGTTTTGGTAAGCAGAATGGATGAGGGGAGGTGGTGGTGCTGGTGATAGTAGTGGTGGTAGTGGTGGTACTAGAAATGGCACAATGAAATATGTTCCAAGTTCAACATGCTATAAAATGCACCACCGTCCACCAATAACAATGCAGTTTGCACATTGCGCCCAAATAATATTATACATAGGTATGTAATTGGAAGACCATTTAATAGATCAAATTTTATTTTGCAACTATATGATACATCTGTTGTGGTAAACGCTATAAAAAAGTCTGAAAATAAATTATTTCAAAAAAATATTATTTATTACCTATATAGTATTATGTAGGTATTATATTATTGGTAATAATTATGAGTTTACCATTATCATAACTATTATTATAAAATTATAGTTCCTAAACAAAATTATTTTATTATTGAAGTAAGACTTATTTTTTGAGGCATGGGTGGAAAAAAAATAGCAACGAAACGTTTTGAAACCTTATTCTCGGAAACTACTAGACCGATTGTCTTAATTTTTTTTTTAATAAGGTTCCTATTTGCAATAGCATTTATCTAAGTTAATTAACATTTGAGTTATCTATTAATTAAAATAAACGTGTAAATTGTACACCTATACCAATATATATTATATATACACATTTGTTTATCACCATATAGTAACGAATAAAAAATAATAATATTATAAGGACTAAGCATTACCGCTCAGAATAGTTTTTCGTATACAATGGTATTATTGTATTCAAATAGGTATATCACATCCATTACAACCACTGTAGGTACAGCAGATCTGTATCAACTTGTCCACCTTTTGAAAAAAAACTTCTTTCTTGAGATGTTGGTAACGAAAAATGAAACGACACGTTTGTTTATTTATTATTGATTTTTATTGTATTGATTTTTCTTACTCTCTCCCTAATTCACTTATAATTTCAAGGGCCCCAATACTTATAAAACAAGTTTTACTTCCCCAGAGTGTAATACTGTAATGGTGGGCTCAAACACTCGTTTTTTTTTTTATTATAATGTATTAATTATAATTTTTTTCAAATATGTTTTAATTGCGAAGTAATAACGCTTCGGAATTGAAAAGTTTGAATGTATCAAAACTAAGTATAAATTATAATTGCAGGTGATTTGGGCTTTGTATGAAAATTATTTATTATTATTATTATTATGGTGTGTAGGTAGAAATTTAATATTTTAATATGATAATTAGTATTGAAATATTTTACCTGCATCCAGATATACTAACATTTCAGCGCAACTCATTGCAACTTTAAAGTATAATATAAAATCTGCTTTTAAAATGTATATACTTTGAGTCAGTGGAGCTTTTTTATTGATACCTAAATACCTATCACTTATTTAATATATTTTATTAGTAAATTCTTTTTTTTATATATATACACCTATTTATAAATTACAAGCTGTATCACCCGACTTCACTCGGGAAAAAAATTAACACAACCTAAAAATCGGTGCTAAGCAGTGACGCCGAAATCCATGTTTATGTATGGCAGCTGCCTTACATTTAAACATTTAGCTGGGGGGGGGGGGGTCCACAGGAGAATAAAATTATGAAAATTAATAGGAATAGGATCACAAATTATTAAGTAATATTGCCCACTGAGAGTAGTAACAATATTAATATTGTATACAGAATATTATAATATAATATAAAAGGTTGCATTTTGTTTATATTTTTGTATTTTGTACTATCGTTGCAGCCGTTGCAGGTAATTAAATATAAATTTAATATTATTACATACGTATTGGTTGAAAAAAATAAGAGAAATATGATCAAAAATATAACAAAAGTGGGTGGCAAATTGTTTGTGAGAGGTTTCAAATTTTCTTACTGGGTTTGTGGTTGTCGGAGATCCTTGTCATACATTTAATTTTGTGGTTCGGCGCCTCCGGTGTATAAGCTCCTATATTATGGGCGTATCTCGATAATAGATAAAGTCATAAAGACAATATATTTGAATTAATCGTAATTCGTTATAGTAAAGTAAAAGTTGTAACTACATTTTTTCGATAACATAATTTATATAATTCAGATAATCGTGGTATAAAAATAAAATGATCGATATTTTCCATACAACTTTCGTGTATTTAATTTTATAACTATGTATGTAACAACATTTATATTAATATGTATAATGGGAATGAGAATCAATAAACTGATTCAAAAAGATTGTAGTTCTAGATAATTTTGTACAGTAGAGTATTAAAAGTGCGAAGCTTAGACAGTAGACACTGTGTACGGTCGGATGAAAATGTACATCGCAAGCAGGCGTGGATACATGGGGGAGGGGGCATGGGAGCGATGCCCCCCCCCAAATATCACGAAACGAAAAAAAAAAATGTTTATATTAATATGCACAACAATAATAAAAATAATATTTTTTTATAGCGACAATGAAAAAAACTGAACTGTTTAGGCTGTTATTTTTATGTACATCATAAATAATAATAAATTTCTACATTGTTTTGCGGATCGTTTCCATTTATAATTCAGTAATTTCTAATCACGCCGACTGACGACGTGACGGACACCGGTCGTCGTCTAATATCGTAATCGCCTGCATTGATATGCCTTACCGTTATAACTTATAAAATATATTCTCATTCGGTATCATTCATTTTATTCTGTGCATTGTGCAACTATAAATGAACTACTGTCACCGACGACAATTCATCTTTAAAAATGGTATTCGAGTAATTAAAGAAACTGTATAATTTTTTCTGCATCAGCTAAAAGAACAGTTGTTTTAAGAAAATATGTTGGGCATCAATTTATTGGCTTATGTGAAAAGAAATGGATCGAGAGACATGAAGAAGTAATGAGTTTTATGCAAGATATGCATAACATTATTGATGCATTGTTAGAAATTACATCATGGAAATACTTGAATACTTCTGGAAAAGCTAAATCCCTAGCAACAGTATTATGTGACAGTGAAATTATTGTTTCACTTTGTAGTCTCTCTCATATGCTTAGCTACACTCTTCAACTAAATATATGTTTTCAAAAAAAGTCTATTTGTTGAAGTACACAGTCACACAGATATACAGAAGCTAAAGGTAAATAAAAAAAGATCGGATATATGTAATAACATAATAATATGTATAATTGATATGAATAACTATAGTGCTCCGAGTCGTTATAATGTTATATAAAACAACGACTAGTCGTCCTACAGGCTACAAAATAGAACGAATATGCTATAGAAATATAAAATGCCTATTCAGCGTCTGCTGTACTACAGCACACTGTACTACAGTGTGAATAATTTGCTTATAATATACATAATACAGAGTGTGTTGTTTACATTCAACACTATTGATTTACATGAAGCAGCCAATAAAATGAAAGATACACTAAATATTCTGTCAGAATGCCGAGAAAATGTTTCTACTTGGTTTACAGAAATTTATAAATCGTCTGAGAAAATGGCTAAAACTCAAAAAGTTGATTTAAAAATTCCAAGGAATTGTTCAAGACAAACGAATCGTGCATATTATCCAACAAATAATACAGAAGAATATTATAAATTAGCCATATTTATTCCATTATTATATAATGTCATTAATGATTTAAAAGCACGTTTTTCAGAAAAAACACTAGAGTGCTTCAATCTTTCATAATATATAAAAATATCTTATGTAGGTACATATAATATTTTCATTAGAATATTATGTATAATGTACTTTAATTTTCTATATACATTGTATATTTGTATAGCACTTGGGTTTGGATTATGACGATATACCACATTTAAGAGAGGAGGAAATATGTATAAAAACTCAAACTAACACTAAGGCAATCATGAATTCAGATAATTCCACTTGGTATGAATTGCAGAAACCATGTGGGCTTGTACTGAAACATATTTTGGATATGGCCTTGCTTGATTGAGCATGTGAAGTTTTATTTTGCATATTTATGCGTTTTTATATTTTATTGTGCATATTTAGAGTATTTTTACCAACATTTGACGAAAATGCAATAATTTATATTTGTTCACTATATAAAATATATGGGAATTTTAAAATTCAAAAATAAAATAAAATTACGTAAAATTATTAAAATTAAAAGGTATATAGCACATAAAGCGTTTACGAACGTATACGTAGCCCTCGTTAAGCAATTAGTGGAAAACATGTTATATGAAATGGTCTTATCTTCTTGATACTTTTGCAATAATGGTTTATTCTAGACTATTTCAGTCATTATTGTAATGTATGTGAGCGGACGTTCGTTCAATTTAACATTTATACAGACATATAGTTATACTAGATAACTTATATATATTTTTTAATAACTTCATTTTGAGATTACCTATCATGCCGAAAGAAAAACAGTATTCGGCCTATAGACTGTAACAATTAATAAATGAATTTGGTAAGAATATTTTCTCAGCCAACAATAAAATATTATTTTGTAAGATATAACTAAGTTTTTAGAATTGAACTAATTAAACAAATAAAATATAACTTACACAAAAATTACTCATAATTTCTTCTTTTTATAATCTGCATATTTTTATATTTTTAACGCATATAAATGCATTTTTCTGAACTTTTAAAGGCATAATTTGCCAGTTTTTAATGCATAATTAAGTGCATAATTATTTAGGCATTTTTTAGAGCATGAACTCACAAGCCCTGCTCATAACTTACTTTAAAATTAAAATCAATACAATTTAAAAATTGTAAGATGGAAACAACAGATATATAACGTTCCCTTCGTAGTTGAAAAAATATACAGGAGAACCCGCTTAAAGGGGATAAAATTTAAAGGGGACATTAATGACAGTCCCAAATGAATGTAAAATTATTCGGTTGATCGGGACAGTCGGATAATGGGAACAAATTGGTCACCGCCCGATATGTCCCAATTAAGTGGATTCGACTGTATATTTAAACCTGAGTTCAAGCCTTAGTGTTACACTATTTAATTTTTATGATTGTTTTAATCATATTTTAGGAATTAAAAAAACATGAATATTTATATATTGAAGGATGTTCATGGCTCATCATAGCCAATTGTACACAATATTAATTTATATGTATTTAATTATTTATAAATAAAATATGTGCAATACCTTTTCATATAGAATAGCATTATATAATTGTAATATACACAATAATTATACAGTCAAATCCGCTTAATTGGGACACATCGGACCTATTTGTCCCCATTATTCTCGGCTGTCCTGATTATCCGAATAATTTTACATGCAATACATTCATTCAGGACTGTCATGAATATCCCCATTAAGCTGGTGTCCGCTTTAAGTGGTATCCCCTTTATGCGGGGGTTCTGCTGTAACAGCATTTACAAATTTTAATTATTCATTTAAAATAATAAAACCAACAAAAAATCTTCAATGACAATATCAAAAGTATATTACTGAGTTAGATAGATATAAAAAGAATAATAATACAAATAAAATTGGTTCATTAACTTTATAAAAAATCTGTTCTATATATTTCATATTTATCTAGTTGATGTAGTTGAATCATGGAATTGTACTGAATATAAATTTGTATTACTTATTAAAAATTTTAAAATTCACTTAGCTTTGTAGAAAATGGATGTACATTTTATGGTTTTGAGGTTTATAACACACACTAAGGTCTAAGATGAATACAAATATAAAACAAAAAAGTAAATATTATAATTAAAATTTAAAATAACCACCAGTCTGTTGTTGGTAGACTTCAAGTGTATCACCTTCTTCCATCTCTAATGTAGTTGGAGTATCAGTCACTGCGATTGCTTGACCATCAAACCTGAATCTCACAGTTTCGAAGGCTATACCCTAGAACATAACAATTTTGGATGAATTAAAAAATATTTAAATTATATATGTTAAACCAGCACATATACTCTGTTAATACCCAGTTGGACTGGCCCGGACCGCTAGTCCGCAATTCCGGCTTATTTATGGTAATTGGGGGCCCTGATTTTGTCCCTATTACTATTATTATTATTCGTATAAAGTAAATAGAAATACGAAATAAATATTTTATTTTTCAAATCAGGAAACTTATTTTTGTTTACAATCTTGAGAAGTTCTTAATAATTAGTAAAATAATGACATTTTTACTCTACGAATTTAATAGCTGTCTATATACAATTATGTATCATTGATTATAAATAGTGTAAAGTTGTAATGACCGAGGTGTGACTATTAAGAGGACATTGCACCTGCATATTATGTTGTCTCTGCCTACACATGTACGGCATAGCAAAAACGTTTTGGCGAGGGAAAGAACCGAGAAGGCTACAGTCATAAGCTCATAACTAAGAAACAACATTTTCACCACAAATATAGGAGAACTTTGACTGTGCAATATCGTTTTAAATTTTTTTTTTGGTATCACTTATACGAAAAATGTTCTTATTGTTTCAAAATCCATTATTATTTGTGTTTTTCAAACTTAAATAACTTTTTTAGAAGTACCGATAACGAAAAAATAAAAATGATATTGCACAGCCAAAATTCACTTTTTATGTAGTGAAAATGTTGTTTCTTAGTTATGACTGTAGCGTTCTCAGTTCCTTCAAGCGCAAAAGAGTTTTTGCTATGTTGTACACATGATGTAGAGAATCATGGTTGTACATTTGTAAGATGGAGAGACACAAGCGGATGCAACGTCCTCTTAAATATTATTATATTGTATTTATAAGGGCGTACCTATGCAGTATGCGTATGACTTTGTATTCGCATTATCACTGATTTTAACTGAATTATTAATATATTATATTTGGATATTAAGGGCCAGTTGTACTCGTTCACAATTTGACACAATTTGAATCGGTGTTTTTCTTTATAATGTTTGATGTCACAGCCAGTATAGGGGCTATGCCCTAGTGGCGTAATTTAGGGGTTGGATGCCTGGTTAGGAGGGATTTCCCCTGTCTGATAATAAAAACAGTCCAATGGTCTCTATTGTAGTCAATTTACTTATGGCCTGTCTTAGTATTTGAGAATATGCTCAATATAAATTCTATATTGAAAATAAAGTAAAACCAGTTAATATAGCGAATGATTGAATTTTAATTAGGTACATATTTAGTTCTTTGTGCCTATTTGGCTGTATGATAAACATGCAAGATTGCAATTGTCATAAAAAAAATTTTCTATGTACGCAAATGAAAATAGGATTTTGAGCGAAGCAAGCTTTTTTTCTGGGCTAAAAAAATATTTTCCATTTGCCTGTTGGGGGCTCTTTTTTCCAAATCGCGGACTGGGCCTTTTCGAGCCAGTCCGACACTGTTAATACCCCTGTTAATACTATCCATACAAATAAATCAAAATTACATTATTGTTTTAAATAATATGATAATTCATCATTAACTTCTGTCTTACACAGGACACACGAAAAGTTGTCTGTATTAATACAACATTTTAAAGAATGCCATACCCGTATTTTTCTTTGTCTCCCAAGTGTGTGTCATAGTAAATGTACATTTTAGCAGTTCACATAAAATATATATTTAGTTTTAATATTAGTGAATTAGCATATTATTAAGCTTAACTTTGATATTTAAATAAGTTTTAATATTACAGTTTAAAAATGATCATAACTCACTACAAATATATATAAAAATAAATAATATTAAAGTCAACAAAACTTAATGTGAATTGTTATATGTAAATTTGTCACAAATTTGTTAGTTGCTACAATGTTCGACACTTGTTAACAGTTAATTTTAGACAATAAAAGAGGGTGTGGTATACTCACTTCTCTTGAAAGCAAATAAGTTGTGCAGACAACTCAATTTAAACCAAGAAGTAATTATTTTTAAATTTGAACAGAGCAAGGAACTTTTATCAGTTTAGGCAATAGAGGTTGTTAACAATTCAAGTTTCAGAAAGATAACTTTAAACAATAGATCATTTAATTTTGTATTTTAAAATAATAGAAGTTAATTTTTAATTTCATTCTACCAAGAAACTATTGGTATTATTAATATTTTATAAAACTGCAAGTTATGTAAAGTGTTGAAATATTGCCAAAACTGGAAAATATGGCCTTAACAGTAAATATTATATAAATAATTATACAGTATTTAAGTATTTTTTAACATCTCAGTAGACATAATGACATCAGTTAGGTTTTTAGACTACATTATAGTTATTATACTTAATTGTTCTGGATTTAATATAAGATTACATAGAAGTACTATGATAGAACTAAAAAAAAAACAAATTTAATTTCAATCATTTTACAGCAAATCAATCCAATTTGGTGAATCTTACTTGTGTAAAGTGGACAAAACAGATGTATACAATAAAACTAGTGGAATGTGACCTAAAAATATACATGCATAATATAATAACCATATTTATTTAACTCCATGATGTAAGATGAGGACACAAAATCAGTGATTTAATAAATATCTAAATCATAATTATATTTTGTTAACCTTTTGTACGTAGACCGGTATATGGCAGAGGCACCAGTAGAAAAACTATAAAGTAGAACAAAAATACTAGAAACATCACATGATTATCCTTATAATTTTACTGCTAGCGCCACTGCCCCCGCTGCAGCGTGTAAGGACCTTTATAAACAAGGCTAACAAAATTTCTAGTGTGCTAGTAATTACTAGCAGTAGTTACAAACAAGTGATTTTAATACCTCAAGTATAATCAGACTAGTTACTAAATGCTCATAATTTTGTTCGCTAACAATCGGGGAGTAAATTTTCACAATGTAATCAATGCGATGAAATACGTATTTATAAATAATTAATTAATTAATATTTTATGGTAAACTAGTCTAAATTCAGTCACTGGAACTCCTATTGCCACTAATGGTTACAGTTAAATAAAATATTTTTTAATAGTTTATAAATACTTACAGTTCTTTCACAGTAGGCATTCATTAATTTTTTGAGTGGTGTGTTCTTCTTTATTTTAAATTGAACAACTGCGTTATCTTGTCCCAATACTTTCAGATTAATGTGTTCTGTAGGACCATCCTGTGATAAGACATTTTTTAGTGATAATTGTGGTTTAAAAACTAACAAAATTTAAATTTGTACCAAATCACAGTTTATAATCAAATATTTCTATTTTGCATAAAGATTTTAGAAACGTAAATCAATATAAACACTGTTTTGTACACAATCTATAGTAGATTTAAGTGAATCAGATAATTATGATATAAACTTTGTAAGACATTTTGCTTATCGTCAGAAGTCAGTCGACTTATTGAGCCAAATACCTATACTTTATGGATGTTAATGACATAGTTATGCGCACAGGTACAGCTGAAAGTTTGTGTGCTGCATCTGCAACATTTGTTGGACCTATTTATTGGTCTGTGGGACGACATTGTACTGCTGCAGTTTTTAAAATATTGATTATTTTAACGAGGCATTTATAAAATAAACAAACGTGCGCAAGAATCAATAAATAATATCCATAGATCGGATAGAAGTCGACGCCATGAAATGCTAATTTTAAGGCACTATGGTGAGAAAAACAATCGCTTGTGATAGCAAAGTCATAAGACATTGACCCATTGGCGTGTGGAGGTAATGACAGCCGGTCCGATACGCGTAAGCAGCGGACGAGAACGGTCGTCGTGTATTCTATTACAAGACCAAAACATGTGTTTTAATTTTTTTTTTTTGACGCCCGTCTGCTGCCCAAATTTATATATATACTTACTCCACTTTCTACGGCCATTTTTGAAAGATGTGCGTAAACAATTGTTGGACAGACGGTGGTGAAATTACTGACAAAAAACAAGAGCAGTGGACACTAGACAATATTAGAATTTCGAAACGATTAACGAATAAACGAACACAACAGACGTCAGACACAAACGTCAGTCTGTAGCCAGCGGGCAGGGACAAACTACAATAAACAAAAATGGAGATGAATGACGAATCACCGAAATCGGAAATACCGAATCGCAAACAACAATTGTCAAGAATAAAAAATCAATACTAAAATACTAGAATTATTCAAAGTCCCCACCCCCACGTGACCATTGTTCGGTTGGTACCACCACAATAATTGAAACTTTCGAATCTGTGGCAGCACCGTTGACGTACCGCCGAACCGCCAGGGCACAACCACGAATAAGGCAATAACTGCCAATAAGCCATTTTGCTTGGGAATGGTCTATGGACTATGGAGCTTTGCCCAAGCGGTGAGCGTAAAATCACGTCGCCGTCACCTCGACAACAGTGTCCCTAGACGCTAATGCCTAATAGTCTCTGTGACAATTGCGAAAATGAATGGTGTAGTGTTTTTAAAAGTTGGCACTGGGTTAGATTAGTGTGAAACCAGCTGTTATCGTGGTGAGTGGTGACAAATAAACGGCGACGTGATTTTACGATCATCGCTAAATTCTAGTATATTCTAGCTATGATGGTTATTGGTTACCAAATGGTGACTAGTCACTATTAAAAGTCACGGTGAATTTAAAGTAGCTGTCACCATTGACACGGTGACCAAATGTTGTCACCGTTAACCATCCCTCAAAGCTTCCATGTCAAAATATACTTAGTCATGGGAGCTGCAGCAATGCTTCAATGAAGCACAAACTTCAGAAAAAATCAGCTGTTCCTACACCAGTCACCAATTATTATAATAACTTAATTCATCGACCATCTATAAACTAATTTATAGGTCTGTGGTGCCGACTATGAAGAAATCAGTAGCGCTCGGCTATTCCCAGTTTCGACAAATTATTACCTACTTGTTATCATGAACTAAGATATACAATATACATATTTATATATTATTTTTATTTTATTTATGTTGTATATCAACGGGTATATACCCTTTTACAAATTATATAAAGGAAACATATTAGATAAAAACTAAAAACTAAGTAAGTGTAGTAACACATAACAAATACCTTAGTTATATCTTAGTTCATGCTTGTTATTACTTATTACCATAATATCATTCATAATTTTTGTTGACATTCCAGAATCCAGAATCATGTGCCTTATAATGCGCCTTTGCCCTTTAGCAAGTATGGCAATTAGTAGGTCTGGTAATTACTAATTACCTATCGGCTATCACAATCATATAAATAAATACCTAAATAGTAAATAATATACGCATATTTTTAATTGTGGTAATTAGGTATTCCATTTCTTTAGTACCTATATATTATATTTATAAATCATAATATGCTATGCAGTATGCTTTATGCACACGTACAGAGACGGATTGGGCCATAGGGAAATCGGGAAATCCCGATGGGCCGAGTACTAAATAGTAAATAGTAGGTAGACGTAAATATAATATAATAAATATTACTATTGATTATAGATTATTGAATTATTCATTCAATGATATTACGTAATAACAGCCTATAATATTATAACGTAAAACGATGTAAATTGTAATAATACAAGTATACAACGTCTACAACAGAAACTGAATAATAATATTAATTATCAATAAGTAATAACAATAACCGTAATCAAAAAATCAACTTCCGTGAACAGTAAAATCTATAAATAATTGGTTATTCGGGTTGTCGTCGATCAAATGGGCGGGTTGAGGGGAATGACGACGAATTTTGATGATACAAGTCGATGCGGTTATGAATACGTAATAAGAATATTTTTAATTGAAATTTATATTATTTACTTATTTATATTTAAATATCAATCGTCATTCAAAACCTCGATATCAGCACTCGGCAGTCAGCAGTTCAGCACTCGGCAGTCAGCAGTTCAGCACAATTTGGTACAATTCAATTACTAAGTACTTAACTAGGAATAATTCATAAAATATTTTATATTACAATAGTAATAGTTGCGAATTATAAAGTAAACTGGGAATGGATGGATTGGACTGTAGTAAAAAACGAATAGGAGGAGCTGACAAAATTCGAGACAAAAATAAAAAAATACTAATTTTAGAAGCAAAGGCTTCTAAAAGCATTAAATCATTTTTCAAGTCTCAGAATATCGAATTGAGTTTTAGCTGAACTTTGTCATAATAAAAATATTTTAATAATTAAAAATATTAAACTGTTAATGTACAAAGACACAAAGTACAATAATCTACAATTTATTTTATTGATAGAGAATGAGAGAAACAACATATTTTGCAAAATACTTAATGCAATAGGTACCTACCTATTTTATTTATTTAATATGAAAATATACATTAAATTATTTTAGTGTGATATTCAACTGATACTTTTAAAAATTATAGATAATATTTATCTATAAGTATAAATAATGATTTATCAATTTAATAACAAGGCTGGGCAAATTAATGTTTTTTTTTTTAACTCAGTTTTTAAATTAACTTAAACTTTTTAACTCATTAATACCCATCCTAGTATAATAATTATAAAAAGAGAGTTCTCTTTTCAAAAAAAAATCTTTCATTGTAAATTAAACCAGTTTCATTATTTATTCAAATAAAAAAAATTACCTAGATTTTATCATGTAACATTTATATGTAGGTAATCCTATTGTTATTTCATTATTATTATTTTTATTATTACATTTTATTGTTATAGGTTGATTTTATAATAACACTGATTACAGTAGACTACCCTTTGAAATACTAAAAAAAATTACCATCTTCATTCTTCAGTATGGTACACTTGCCAGTTGCCCCCAATCTCCTAACAAATAGTGGACCGTTAAAAAAGTATTTTCCCGAGCTGGTCCGAAATTCCAATCCGTCCCTGCACACAAAACACTATGGCAGTGTTAAAACGATTAAAGATCCACAGATTATTAAATGTTTGCTCGTGTAGGACAATTTTGTGCTTCTGAAAGCTTCATTTCATCTATAAGCAAACATCCTAGGTACCATAGGAAATAAAATATTAAAAAAAATAAAACTTATGATATTTTAAAATATTACCATGTTTTTCCATTCCAGTAATTTCTTTGGCTTTCAATCATATTATTTTAATGGTTGGAGCAGAGGAACCATAATATACAGGATGAAGTTTTTTAATATATCTCTGTAAAGTTTGGTAAGACGATGGAGGAAGAATTTCATCCCTACGCAATTTACAATACAGCTAGCCACATCACTTAGGTGATTTTATTTGTATAAGTCATATACGATATACGATATTGTTGAGTAATATCGGCCATATTATGTCGATTTAAAGTTTGTTTCGTTGGAACATGTATCAATATTCAATAGCTTTTGTTTTGTTTTTCATGTAGTTTTTCTGTGTACTTATGACAATTGTATTTGAGTAGGGCCATCATACTTTTAGATTCTGAGCGGAACAATGAATGTATTGTATTTACAATTATGTGTGTTTATTTTTTTTATCTGTCTGTCATCAATCACTTCACACTTGGGGTAATAAAAATGCTCTGATTTTCGACATCAGCATCATTTCTGATAGAAAAGTGAATCTAGTTGGTACTTTTGAGAAATAAAAATTGAAACTTCCTTGTAGTTTTGAAAGCGTCAGGAAAAACAAAAAATAAATGAAACAAATTTACGTAAAAAATATTTACTCCAACCAAATTTTTGAAAAAATCGATTGTGTTAAAATAATTATGCCATTGCCTATTTTAAATTCAATAAAATTGAAAACAATAAATTAATTTTACTTATAATATTTAATATAAAAATATTTATAAAATGTATTCAAAAATTAAAAATAATATTTTTAATTATTAAGTTGATTTATATAATTCTTTAAACGATGAAAAACAGAAATAATAGTCATTAGTTGTATAATATTTAGTTATTTTGTGTCACTAAAAAAAACTCTAAGTTTGAAAATTTACAAGGGGGTGTAGAATAAAAAAAGATTGGGAAAACTGTTCTAGACAATAGACGCAAATAATGTTTGAAATTTCGGGGGCTAAGCTCTGAAGCAGAGGAGTATTGGACTCTCATGAGATTTTTCTTATATTACAGTATTTAGGAATTTGTGTTTAATTGAACCTTAATTCATATATTTGAACGTAGGTATATTGTGAGTATAATGTTTAAGCTGTGTTTTTCATAATTGTATTCAATTAGGTATATCGTATATAACTATTAACTTGGATATTATAAACACTATTTAAATGTAATTGATTTAAAGAAAATAAATGCTATTGTCATGATCAGAGCTGTGACATCCTGACGATCTCCTATTGCATACTATAAACAAAATGCATTATAGAAATAGGAAAATACATACATTCTGAACATTTAACATTTAACCTACTTAATTTTGCAATTTACAGCTTAGGTAGGTTAGGTTACTCATTTAAAAAATAAAAACTATTACTATATAGTATGTACCTATATGGCTATATTGTATTTAGTGTTATGTATCAGTATTAATTTTATTATATTATTATTAAATAAATATTGACTTTTATTAGGTATGTAGTAGGTATATACTTATTACTTAGGTGTTAGATCCTAGACAGACATAATTCAAGTGTAATCTATTATAAGTGGCATATATAGGGGGCCCCCTAGGCCAGAGGCCATAGTGAAATTGCAGATTCAATTAAAGCATTTCATGTAAATAAATCTACACTGCTTACAGTTTTTCACCATGATTAAAATCGTTTTTGAGGAATCAACAAGGAACTGATTGTTAGGACTTGCTTTGATGCCTTCGATGTTAAACTCACAGTTAGATAACGTTAATATATATTATATATGCAATTGTAAATATTTTTTAAAAAAGAATTAAAAAATTAAATAAAAAAATATAAAATTAAATTGACTAATTTTTATTTTTGTTGTATATGTCATAATTATAACCACCCAGCTCAAAAAATATGAATAGTTATGGCTATGTTAGTCGTGCTATGCTTGAATAGTGATAAATTGCCAAAATTGGTCCATATTGAAAATAATTTGTGTATACGCCACGTCGCCACTGACTCTATTAAATCCGTGATCTAAAACTTGATAATGCTCGGCCTTTTGCGATTAGCACCTATTCTACCGAGTACGGGGGAGTACCGGTGACCGACTAAAATTCAAAATAATATGCTTATCTATATAAGCGTAATCGAAATGTAATATTGACGTGACGTGTATAATGTATAAACGAAAAATATTACTGTCCCAGAAACAAAAATAACAGAAAAATTTAAGTAATCTGACAAATACAATTTAGTAAAACAGACAATGAACGAGCCAGAATGATTGTCGTTTGGTAACAGGGGCCCAGAATGGCAGGACGACATCGACGACGGACGATATAATAATATTCAACGAACATGGTGTATATAGTTGATACTTGATGAATATACGCAATACAACATTCGGAGGACCTTGCTTGTTTCCTTATCGGTTCCTAGTACTGATTTAACGGATTTAGGTTCCACCGGCTGTTCTAATAGGAAAATCAGGTATTTATTTATTGATTTATTTTACGTTTGAAGTTTTCTTCGACTCCGCCACACGTTCCTGGGTTTTGGGACAATATTAGGTAGGTTAAAAGTTAGTAATAACTAATAAGTTAGTTATATAAAATCTCTGTTCTGTCGCTATCATTATTTACCATCACAATAGTCATTCCATGAGTGGCTTTTTGTACTGTTTACGCGACCACCTTGTAGTGTTGTGTTAAAAATATTTCTATCACTAGGTACCTATGTTTTTACGAGTTTACTTTTTTAATGACAACTTACATATTTTTTACTTTTAGATCCCGAAGATTTAAAATATTTTCCGAAGAATCGCGATACTTAAAAATCAAACTTCGAAGTAGTGGTTAATTTATTACAAATATACTAGAGTATACAAGTAGATTGTAGTAGATATAATAAACAAATAATTTAATATCCACTTTTATTTTTCGTATAAATATAATCGATCTGCTGGATGCTCACTATTATAATATTATATACATAGTATATTTTTATATAGATAATATTATTATTATTTTTTTTTTTTTTTATTAAAATAAGCCTCGGCAGCGGTGGCCATTGGCTGACAATGTTTACATTATTTTTTCATAAAATTGGTTCTTATAAATATTATTATTTATTACTACATACTATTTCATATTTGTTATAAATTATAACCATATTATATAATTATTACCGTTCACTATTATCTAGAATTCTAAACCCACTGAGAAAACCCATACACAGTAATACTGATGATTGAGTATAACATTGATTAATATACATGTATATTTAATCAATGAGTATAATATATAGCTATATTTTAGTAAACGGGTAAAATAAAAATTTAAAAATAGCAATCGTGGCAGACCATAATCGATAATCACTCATTCACTCACTGCCTTTCTAGATAGGTACTATATTATAGTATAATAAAGTATAGTATAATCTTTCTATAGAATATAACTATATAAGATTTTAAATATTTTATGGTCAGTACACGATACCTAGCTCACTTAAGAGTAGACTTAAGTAGACATAACTTTAATTCGTTATTGAAATTAGTGTTGCCGTTTGTAAACCTGTAGGTTATATTCTATAACATATTATTATCCAAGGTGTATCATACACTAGTTATTATCCCATGACACATGGAACGTATAACGTATTACCTATGTATAATATTATAGATTTATTATTGTTTACTTGTTCAGTGTTTAGCCGATTAGGTGTTCTTTTTTGTGGGGGGATTGAAACATTTACCCTCGGCCTCAACACCAACCCGCCACCAACCAACAAAAAAAAATTTGGTTTATATCATAAAAACCTCCCAGCCCAAACATTATGATCTAGTAGGGTACATGCATCTATTATCTAGTTAACTATACTACCAAGTACCTTTTTTTTTTTTTTTTTTTTCAGTTTTAACCGACGGCGCCGCGGGAATTGCTTTCGCATTACTGCCGCGGCGCCGATACTACCAAGTACCTACATGACATTAAAAATATCTTCACAGCATCTTCACCTCCAGGCTCCAGACCATGTCGTAGTTCTCCACTTCTGATTGGTTGATTTTTTTAAAAGTATGCTATATAATATGTATATTGTATATGATTGACAGCCTATAACTAGGTACCTAGTGGACAACTACGGTATAGAGTATAGACAAAGTAAATAGCGGAGGATGCATATCTAAACTCAGATGATGCCTGTCTAATTTGTCATGATTAAATGCACGTTCAAACAGAAAGCGGGCTGATCATGAGTTCTCTGTAAAATATTACAAACCGGCCGCTGCCCGCCGCGTTCGCATACCAGTCCACCACGGCAGCCCGCTCACAGTTTGACCGCACCAGTGGTTCAACTATTCATTATTGATTTAGATATACGCCACCTTTGGGTTATTTGAAATATTATTGTTTTGTTATGTGAACTGTAGCCCCCCCCCAGAATGTTGACCCTAGTTGCGTCTATCGCCTAGGACCGTACCTTTAGAAAAGCCGAACGCCGGTGCCGCCACAGTGAATAACCAGAACCTGTAGTAGCCAGAAAACTTGTCACAAGTCACAGCCCGCAGTCCACAGGTCGCAGCAGTGCAGCACTGCAAGTGCAACAGCCGCCGCCGCAGCAGCGTCGTTGTCGCAATTCGGCAACTCGCAAAGCTGCAAACCGATTCCGACTTTCCGAGTAGCGACCGCCGACCGGTATGGCGGTGTCCGACGTCTTGTAATCCGTATTCCCTTGTCTCATATAGTCAAATAGTCAATACTCAAAAGTCATACTCTCGTCTTTCTTCAGTCTCCTCTAATGTTCTGTTAGTGTGTTGATACTTTTCCGTTTCGTTCAGACCTGCGACTTACTTCGTTTTTATAGTTGCTATTCACTAGCTGTAACAATAGCTCAAGCCTTTGGCAAGATGTCTGCCCCGATCAACGAGGGGGCGTCCACCTCTGCCGGTCTGTCAGAATACGAACTCTTACGGCAAGAGAACATAAATTCACTGAAGCACGAGGTCTGTATAATATTTTGATTTTTACCTTTTCGAGCATCATTGGTTCACATGTTGCCCCCTCCCCACACCCACTGTATACTATTTTATGAATGTCTAGGTAGGTATATTATATTTTTATTTTGTGAATCATATAATTACGTCTTATTAACATAAATATGTTTTAGGACTGGATACAAGACTTTTTGTTTCTAACTGATTTTTGTAAGGTTTTTGTTATCATGGTTACCTACTTACAGTGGCGGCGTGAACTTTTTTTCTATGAAGCAACTAGGTACCTACCTTAAATAAGTACCTACCCACATACCAATTTTACACATTTTAAACTCAGGTTGCATGTGACTATGCGAGTATAAATTATTAACTAGTCTAGCCGTCTAAGTCTTGGAGACTGGAGTCATTGGGATACCTACCCCCAATTTTGCATGAGGCGGCCGTCTCATAAAATAGCTTTTGATGCCGCCACTGGTTACCTACTTATTAACAAAAGATACTTATGAATCATAGATGTTCCTTGTTGAGGAAAAATATTGGGTACCGTGCTATGGTTTTATATATAGGTATATATATATTAGTTATTAGCTACCTAAAAAAAAACAACAGATCTATAAGTATAAAACCAAAAGCCAAAATGAAAATATGCCACAATAGCATAATGTCATTAAATAGAAATATTATTTTATCATAATCATCGACATATAAATAATATATAACGATAAGCAATAATGTTTAATCACTTTAATACAATTAATATACTCTTTTTCCTCATCTTTTTCAAATGAAAATACGGTTTTTTCTATTAGTAGTTATTACTTATTAGTGATGTGCATACTAGTATAAATTAATTTGTTTTAATACTTTCATTAGACTTTCAAGGCTATAAATTTAAATTTAAACACTAACCAAAATAGGTTATTGTTGTGCAAATTTATAAATACCCAGAACACTTAGCCAACATTGAATTTACTAGGTAATAAAATTATCCATCACTACGTCCTACAGAGGGTTGGTTGTGAACCTTTATTTGTGGTTCTTATTGTGATAAAGTCTTCACAGTTAATAAATGTTGTTTGAGACTCGGTTTCCTCCATTAATTGCTATATTACCTAAATTTTAAGAATATTTTGACGGTTTCATTTAGAACTATAAGCTCTACCTAATTAAATATTTTGGTTCAGGTGGGTGATATATTTAGTAACACTCTGCAATGTGCTCAAAACCTTCAAAAAAGTTTGCGATTACGGAATGGTAGAAGAGCAGCTCATATACCAGGGCTACGAGTGAAATTATTCTCTAAACTGGACAAATCGTCAAAGGCGAAGGAGGCTCAAAGTAAAGATATCCGTCGATCATCACGTTCTAAAAGGTATAAATAATAGTATAAATTTATAAAAAAATTTTAGTCATTAGTCAGTTAAGAAATGCAAGGCAACTTAATATATTAATATGTATATGTCTTCTACCTACTTGGTCATTTTTGATATTATATCTACTTATTGATTTAATTTACTCAACAAAGTTCATAATACAAAAAATATGTATAGGTAAAGTACTTTTGAATATTGTTGGATAATTTTTTATTTGTGGAAAAAATTAATTTAGGTTTTATCTTGATTTCCTTTTAGTTAACAATTATAATATATTTAATATTTATGTATATTGTACTTAGGTAATTTTCCAAATACATGATAAGTTTTTTTTGTGTATACAAACGGTTTAAAAAAAATTGTTTTATTATTTTAAAAATATTTTATGCATAGGTAACTATATTTGTTATTTGACAATATGAAAGTTCTTGCCATTAACATTATGTAAAAGTTTTAGTGAACTCTTATTATATTCCTTTTATTGTTTTATCCGATCAATTAACAGTCTAACAAAAATGCCACAATATATATGCATTCACTTCTGTCATATGTTATTTATTTTGTATGAAACTTGAATGTTATTTTTTTCATTATTCAGAAAGCAAATTTATTATGATTATAAAGATGACAATGACGATGGAGAAAACAAAAATCGTCGACAGAAATTTAAACAACAGAAAAAGTGTCCTTTGCCTAAATCTAAAGTAATTCAAGTAACTAATCAATAAAACTAATAACTATTGGTATAAAATACATTTTTAATTGTGTTATGTTTGATGATCAGGTTTCAAAACACACATTTAGCAGAAAAGTATCTCGATTGGATGTATCTCTTGTAACAAACGAAATGTTAAACAACATCAATTATCGCTCTGTAGGAAAAAAATATAGTACTGACAAAGGGACCACTTGTCACCAATGCAGGTAACATTTAGTGCTAAAAAAGATTTTTAAACTGACTACTATATTACATAATATAATGTGAAGAATTTATTTAATTAACATTATCTAATTCGGTAGTTATTTTTATGTTTTGTATAAGCTATTAATTATATAAAACAATAAGTGTTTGAGAGGTTTCATATCAAAATTAAGTATAGCAGTAAAATGTATTTAAGAGCATGATGTTATGTTAATTAATTTATACCAAGAACAAGCAAGAAAAACATTTATGTTTTTCTTAATATATTTTAATTATTCTTGCCGTAAAAAACTACAATAATTTTGTTTTGATTTTCTATGGTTAATTATTAGGGAAAATAAATGTTTGATAGATTATTTTTTTTTTAAATTTTCGATAGTAATTTATTAGTTGATGTTTAATTTTTATAAATGACAAATTTGTTATGATAACAATTAAAAATATAACATAAATATTTGACACAATCTCAGCATCAATAGGTACCTGACTGTCTACTAAAATTACTCTACCAGTCTCCTGCAAAAATGTAATTCAGTTTAATACTAAACAAAAATTATGATTAAATTAAGAAATTAATTCTTTAAAAGTCTAAAATAAGATATTTAAGTTTTATTAATAATGTAATATGAAAACATTAATTAATAATAGTATAAACTAGGGCTGGGATTTTAATGCCCTAAAAAAATCCCGAAAAATGTCCTAAAAAAAAATGCTTTTATGTCCTAAACATTTTTTTTTTAAAATAATTTTAGTATAAATTATAATAAAAAGTTAAAAAAAATGCATTACAAAAATCTATTACAAGTGTAAGCTGTCAATACATAGTTTTAGTATACAAAACTCGTACTGAACGTCGAACGATATCATCGGACCGATTTAAGATAATTTAACAGGAAATGCGGGTAGAGATTACTCAAACCTTGTCCGATAATATAATACGAATTATGAATACCTACTTATAATCTGTTATATTTATTTAAAAACCATGTTGGTGTAAAAATCTTAAAATAAAATTTCAAATTCATACTTGGTTTCCAAAAACTCAAAAAATGCTCCAAAAACTCTAAAATGCCCTAAAAAATTAAGAAAATGACCTAAAAACTAAAAAATGCAAAATAAACTTTCTTATTCTCATTTAAATGTACATAAAACAAATTTGTGACGAGCATTGCACGATCAAAGACGAGCAATGCACAGTAAGCTTAGGAAAACAATGCAAAGTGCATCGAAATCCCAGCCCTAGTAATAACATTAGTTCATAGTTTTTATTTTGAGTTGAGGTAAATAAATCAAAAAATACTAATAAAAATGTACTGTGGTTCCCAAAAATTATTAATATAAAAAAAATGTGGTCAAACAGATTTAGACCACTGTGTACACTGAATTACATTTCTTACCAGTGATCACAGAATATTGTATGATTTGGTTGAATGTAGTTTGATTAGTGATAATTACTCAAAATTAAAATAATTTTTTCAGGCAGAAAACTTTGGACCAAAAATCATACTGTCGGCACAAGAGTTGTAAAGGTATGAGAGGTATGTTCTGTGGTTTTTGTTTGCTTAGACGATATGGTGAAGATGTAGCTGAAGTTTTATTAAATCCGGTAATTTATATTTATTAATATATTTTTAAGGCAAACAATTATTTATTTATTTTTACATAATATACTAAGGTTTGGGCTTGTCCACCATGTCGTGGTCAATGTAACTGCAGCATTTGTAGGCGTTATCAAGGCAAAGATCCAACTGGACAAATGGCACAAGAAGCTGAAGCTAAAGGATATAACTCTGTTTGCGATCTGTTAAGGACAATAGAAGGAGACCCATATGAACCGCAAAATCCTAATCCCGTAGAGAACCACATTGAACTTCAAAACAGTAATGCAGTTGGTTTTACCGGTACCCAGTTAAAGAATGATATGGCTGTACTTGATGAACACAAGTCTGAAAACGAGGTCGAGAATTTAAAATCAATTAATAAGGATGAAGAACAATGTAACTCTAAAAATGTGATAGAAGAGCATAGAGAAACTTCAGAAATGATTATTGATCAACTTTATGAGAAATTAATGGTTTCTACATAATCAGAAAAAGATAATTAAAAAAAATCCAAACATAAGCAGCAAGTAGTCATTACAACTTGCTAATACTATATCTAATAGTATTAAATACTATATTTTATAAGTAAATATAAATTTTTTTTTCAACTTAAACCTTGGTTTATTTTTTCACCATGAGTAAAAGTAACTATTATTAATTTAAGTAATTATAAAAGTAATAATTTAACTAAAAGTTATAAATTGAAGTTGAACTGTAATGAAAATTACAGTTAATACAGATTCTATATAAGTGTAAAATGATTTTTTTGGCATTACTATTTATGTGTTATTGAAAAGTGCTCATAATTAATATTATTCAATCATATAAAGATGCTTGTATCTTTTTTTTTTTTTGGCTTATTTATTTTTATATATTTTTAGTAGTACAGTTAAAACATGTATTTTTTTTTTTATAACTTAATGAGGTAAGCCACAAACTTACAGCATATTTATTTTTCAGAAGTTATGTTTTTTTTTTGTTCTTATACATTTTGTTCTCTATTATATTTGAATTTTGACACTTATCATTTGTTATTCAATATTATTGATAAAAATTAGGAGCGGTTGATAATTTGGACACATTTTATCTACCTATGTTGTATGCAATATTTTTTTACATTTTATCACCTGGATGTTGAGCCACAAATGATAAATATATTTTTAAAGGGTGTTCAAAGATTGGTCCACAAATTTATAACACATAAGAATCCTAGTTGCAGCACTGGAAATATTACAGTACACATAAATAATTTTAAGAATATTAAAAATCAATATTTTATTTCCTCGGACATTATAACTACCATTGTACTTATTAAAAAAAGACTTATTTTACTCGTATATTACCGCACTACATACAATAATAAACAAGGATCATGGTAAACTGTATGATGTTATATAATGTTTTAAATTCTTTGTAAATTACGATTTTGGCTATTTTTATCCATTTATTTTGACTACAACCCAGAAACAATGTCAAACACCCTGATAACTGTATTTTATTTAATATTGGATAATTTATTTAATTTTAATAAGGCACGTGATCTCTTCAATTAAATTTCATTTGCTCTGCAGTGGTATAGAAAATTTAATAATTATATGTATATTATTTTATTAAAATATAGTGGTTCAATTATCTGATTCTTTAAATAGTTGCCCAATCACTGAATTTACTTGTTATAAATATAAAATTTTAGTGACCCAATTACCAGGCTCCCAAAATGAGTATAGGATTGTATATCCTTAATAATATCTAATGTAAAAATAAAGTAACTTGCCTAGATGCAAAATTACATCTGTCCAACTATGCTAGAGATTCTGAGCAAAGCGACAAATATAATGGTTTTACAGATTGATATCTTTTGAATTTTTTATTTTTATTTTATTAGCATCAGCTGAGTAGTAAGATTGCTTAATCTTCAATATGGATGGGAGTTTATAGTAGAAAATTAGGCTAAGTACTTAGAGGAAATTCAAATTAAAAAAAGGTGCTCTGCTGTACAGTAGTTTACAAGTGGGTAACTGTATAATTGATAGTATTAAATTTGAATTCAATGATATAGTATCATTGTATAAGAAAAACGATTCTGAGTGGAGACGGTATGTCAGTCTAGGTATAAGGCATATTATATACTTATCTATGGTATTAAAAAAAAATGACCTGAAATAGGTACCTATAATAAATTCCAAATTAATCATATCACAATATCCATTAGGTATTTATAATGAGTTATACGTCAACAACAAACCCTGATACTATCATAGTCCATACTCCATAGATATATAATAGTGTACTTTAGAAGTTTCAAGATAACCACGAGTAATATTACACAATCACAACAAAATAACTAAAATAGTTATTCTAGGTTTTTTTTTATGTAATTTTGTCCAGAGTTTATTTATTTATTTACGGAATAAATCCATTTACAATATTAATATATAGTGTACAGTGTAACAAAACATATGATGAATATTTAGTTTAGTGATTACATATTATTTAAACCTAGATATAGTACAAGTATAGTTTACAATATATTAAATATAATTACATTTAGACTGAATTAACAGTGAACAATTAAAAACATTGAAACAAAACAAAAAATACATTTTAAATAATCAAACATTAAATGCTGATTTAATACTATTTATATTACAAAAAAACAAATAAGTTGAACTTATAATAACTATAAAAATAAACTGTGCTTATGTATTTTTTAGATTTTTTGGTAGCAGAATTAACTACTCACGTATAGAAGTTGAACATTTTATACATTTTTAACTACAAAATAATTATTCAATTTTAAATTTGATAAATGTTGTCAAAATTCGATCTTTAAATGCTTATAAAAAAAAATTGTGGCTATGTATTTTTAATATTTTTCAACTGATATTGTAACAATATATCAGGAGCCTTGTATTAAATTCTTACACTTTTTGGACCGACAGATAAAACTTTATTGATATTTATAAAATAAAAAACTAAAAAAATTGGAAACTGAAAATGTCCTTAAACAGCTCAAAAAGAGTCAAAATATTTTCAAAATTGTATGGTGTGTAGGAAATGCTAATATAAATATTCAGTGAAATTTTCATGTATCTACAGTTATTCGTTTTTGAATTACAACAAAATAAGGAAATCACTACATGAGAAATCGAGCGAATATCCAATGTTGTAAAAATTTGAATTTCAAACGCTCATAAAAATTTAATTTGACTTTCTTATAGACAATTTTTTTTTTTATTAAGGTAGATAAACTTATAAGGAATCTTGTATTACATTTTAAAACTTTAGATTTAAAAAGAAAAATGTTTACGAACTCTTAACTCAAAATAATGTGCTTTTAAAATTTTCGTGATTTTTCCATATTTTGTCAATTTTTGAACTTTAAATGCTTATAAAAAAAAACTGTGACGAAAGATTTTTAATATTTTTCAAATGCCATTGTAACAATATAGTAGGAGCCTTGTATTAAATTTTCAAGGTTTTTTAACCAACAAATAAAATTTAATTGATATTTTTAGAAAAAAAACTAAAAAAAAATGGAAAATGAAAATGTGTCTAAACAGTTCAAAATAAATCAAAACATTTTGAAAATGTTATAGTGTATATTGAAAATGCTAATATAAACATTCAGTCAAAATTTCATGTACGGTCATTTGTTTAAAAGTTGCACCAAAAACCAAAATCGATTTTTTCGAAAACAGATTTCAGTGTAAAAATTTCCGTTTTCCCTTAATTCTTATTTTGTTTTTCACGCCGCTTTTGAAACTACTGGGAAATATTTCTAAGCACTTTTACTGTCCTACACCGCGTGATGACAGACACAAAAAAAAAAAAAAAAACATTGCAAAATCAATACATTCATCGTACCACTCAGAATCTAAAATCATTCAAATGTAATAAACATTATATTTTTTTTTGTATAGTTCATTATTATTATATATTGTTTTTGTATAGTTGTATAATTTATCCACTCATGTAGTAGTAGTGAAGTTTAAGGTCTCAAACAAATTATTAAAAAATTTGTTAATTTTTTTTTTTTTTGTGTCTGTCATCACGGTTTGAGGCAATAAAACTGCTTCGATGTTCTTCAACAGTACCTATCTTGTTCGATTGGAAAGTGAATCTAGTTGGTGCATTCGGGAGGTAAAATTTTAAAATTCCCAATAGTTTTCAAAAGCGCCGGGAAAAACAACATAAGATTAAGGAAAAACGGGAATTTTTACGCAAAATCGATTTTGGTGTTTGGTGTAACTGTAAAACAAATAAACGTACCTATATACATGAAATTTTCACTGGCTGTTTATATATTTGCATTTCCAGTTTCCGATTTTATTAGTGTTTTTTTCTATGAATGTCAATAAAACTTTATTTGTTGTTTAAAAAAGCTTGAAAATTCAATAGGATGATCCTACATAAATTGTTACAGGCGGCGCCAGAAAATGAGAAATACCAGTGTCAAATGTTTGTTAAAGGAGGTCATTGTTAAACTTCATCTGTAAATTACAACAAGATGGAAAATGAAAATGTATTTTTCAAAAATAGAATTTGTAACACTTAAGTATTCCTAAAAATTTTTCTTTTTAAATCTATCGATTTGAAAATGTAGGTGAATAACATAGTTCCTTATTGTAGTTTCAATCTATTGACTATCAAAAAAAAATAATAAGTGTCTCATAGTAAATCAATTTTTAGTTTTAAGATACGTCCCTGGACAGGATCAGCATTTTACAAAAGTCATTACAAAACGATACGAAAATTATCATTATTTTGTTTGATTCGTAAAATTTCCACGTTGATAAGTGTAGATCACATAACATTTCATTAGAGCAATATTTCAATTTCAAACATTTTTATTAACAATACTGTAGTCTGTTATGATATAATTTTCATATTTGATAAAAAAATATTTTGACTCTTTTTGAGCTGTTTACAGACATTTTCAATACTTATCGTGTGGGTACCTACTTGGGTACTTGAGACGTTTATAGTACCTATATTTATATATTATATTTTACCCGCACAAATACACAATAACATTTTCAAATGCAATGTTTTCGACATTTCGGCAAAAATTTCAGCCAAACATGAATTTTACGCAAACCAGTTTTTAACAAATTCAATTTTCTCATTTCATTTGGTTTTGCTTATAAAAATAATTATGAAAATTTTTAAAAAATGACGAGTTTAATCCCGCAAATAAATATTATTAGCGTTTGAAGTTAGATGGATTGTAGATGGATATTTACTCAGACTCGATCACTAACAGGCATCGGTATCGGCTATTCATACATTAGATCCAGGTTCTTTAATTTTTATCATATTAGTAATACACATTTGTCTACGCATCATGTGTTTAACATTGCTGTAGTTATTATTTATTTTTTGGATTTTATCGTGTATTTCCACCAGCCATAAACAATATTATTATTTATCACTGATAATTATAACATGTAACAGGCAATTCGCTTTACAATTGATTTGTACTGTATTTTTGTAAACAATCACTCCGTCAACTTTATAAATTCCCAGCGTCAGAAAAAATGTAAAGGTAAGATTCACAATGATAACACCACAGTGATAAAATAAAATAAATAATTTAAACCAGGGATGGAAAACGTTTTTAAAAAACGTTAGTAAACGGAAAAAAAAACGAAAACAATGAATAAAACAAAAACAAAAAACCATAACAAAAAATCCTAAAAACAGAAAAAAAATTAATTACGAAAACGAAAACGCAAATAAATTATAGTATTATACATTATTATATTAATAACACGTAAAAAAAAATGTTACTTAAGTATTTACTTTTTAATCTTTACCAACAATGCTCTATTAAATTTAAAAACATTTTTATTTGAAATCAAGAATAATTTAATTTAATTTTTAACTCTTAAGTGCATTTCTAAATTGCTAAATTTACTACTATAATTAAAAAACAATATTATCAAAAACAATATAGAAAAATAACGTTTTTAAAAACGTTAATCAAAACAAAACGATAAAATTAAAAACCTTTTTCATTCCTGATTTAAACTGATTCATAACATTCTTTTATAGTTTAAATAAAAAGAACAATAAATATGACTTGAATTGATTATTTGATATTATCAACTATATTACTATCAATATTATTAGATTCTGAGCGGAGTGAGGGATCTATATTGGTTTTTCAATATTGATTATATTTATTTTTATTTTTTCCTGCATACAAAATTTCTACCAGAAGCAGTTCTTCGCTTTTAACATATAGTATATCTTTTCTTTTAGCAAATTTTATCAAGATGGTACTTTAGAGAGGTAATTTTTCAATTTTCTCAATATTTATTTAATGACACATTACAATTTCACCGACAAATTTCAAAAACCGCTAAAAATGTGATTTCAATTTCTAACACTTTGTTTATCACCATTGTAACAAATAAAATTAAAATAATGATTTTAGTTATTTTATCTTAATTTATAATATTAATTCAACTTACAGGCTATAATAAAATATAATTACAATATAAAATATCCAGACTGACAAACCGTCTCCGCTCAGAATCGTTTTTCGTATACAATGATATGATATCATTGAATTCAAATTTAATACAATCTATTATATAGTGACTAAGTATTGTAATCTACTGTACAGCAGAGCGACATCCACTTACCCGCTTTTTTAATATTCATTATTATAATATGGGAGTTGTGAGGCAAACCCCTTAGGTACGGCTTATTTTGAAACCATTTTTTTCATCCCCCTCCATTGAAATATCCTGAGAACGCCTCTGGCTATTCATACAATTATACCACGGTCCACGAACTTATGTCCTATTCAAGTACTTGACAGTGATATTGTAACGATCTTGTGGCTTTGTACCACGATTATAAAGAAGTTCTTTATAATCGTGCTTTATACCTACCTACTATCGTTGTGATAATAGTAGATAAGTGGCTACCAAGATGTTATAGATGCAGGTCGCAGACACTTTATTTGATGCTGAAGTCGTGGTAGATAAATGAATAATAAGACAGTTGTTGTATATTGTGAATTTTATTATAACGTTCGATAATTTTTCTAAGTCCAAATAATATTGTACAAAGTGACGTGAAGGTGCTTGCTCTAATGGGTGGTAGTACACGTCTGAAAACAGGCCGATTCGGGCTCCCTTATATATGAGATCCCCCGTACCCCTTGCCTACATATACGATATCTCGGTTCTCACGGATGTGATTTGTTGTGGACATTTATCCGGCCTACACATTTACGACTGCATGTATTTCTATACATTATGATTATTATAAAATAATCTTTTTTACTCTTTTATATTTTGATTTCGTCGTATTCAGTTTTTTCTGTAAAATATTTCCATCCGCTTATTTTTTGAACCCCGGTGTCTTTTATGTTCCCTAATCTCCCGGTTATGCCTGTCTACCGTATAGTATCATAACTATGCACCTGTGGAATTTGTTTTTATTGTTACTGTCAAATGTTACTACGCCTAATTCTGAATCCTGATTCATCGTATATTATAATAATAACTATGTATTTATGAAATTGGTATTACTCCGTAGTAGCTGGCTTACTACAATATAGTAAGTTGGTAGGTATTGATTATTGAATAAATAGTGAATAAAAATATAATATAATATACAGATATACTAACAATTTTTTTTTTATAGCACAGCGGCTTCACGGCGACACGTCCTTGCCACTTAATTTTTCAATTTGTTGATGTACGAAACGAATTTTTTGATTGGAAATCCATGTTTTATAAAATTCAGACAAAAATGCATTTATTTAAATCCGTGCCCTAGTTATAGGTAAATAGTAATTTCTGATGCAAAGGAGGTATAATCAACCGAACCGAAATCTAAAATCTCAAAATACCTAATATATAAACAGTTGTTCACACATAGGCTGGGGCTATACACGGCGTATTCCACTGCGTTTTAAACGCCGCGGAAAACGATGCGGAATACGCGGCGTTTGAAACACGGCGGAATACGCCATGTATAGCCGTCTTGATACAAAAATGCAAAATATTTATATTTTATATTTATAACGGATTTTATTATAAATTTATAACAATAAAAAATCATTTTTGAGCAGCCGCCAAGTCCGCCGTTGTGACGTAGATTTAGTAGACACATAAAAAAATCCCACTATTAGATAGGTACCTACCTACTTTAATGAGAATTGTAATAATACTCAAACAGTTATACTTGCTAACTTAATACTATTTACATAGACATTTAAAATGTTTAAATATTTTTACTGTAATTGTTGACAAATAAATGCGTCAAATGTTGTATTATAAAGCCGAAGCTTATTGCAGTTAAAATTTAAAATGTTGCATTTTAAACTATTATACGGTCACGATTCGTGCCTCTAGGTCTGGGACGCAGACAGCCGTCAGGCGACAGGCAGTATGAATGTAATAATGTATGACATCTATTTTGGGAGATGTAACAATCCAAAGGAAAAAAAGTTGGCTAGAATTTCTATTTTCCATTGATTTGTTTTTGTATTGAACCGCTGCAGTGGCGCTCTAATAGACATGGGTAAAGACAGCGGCCATTTTCTTTCCATAGCTGATTAATGATAATAGCTAGTTATGTATTTATTAAATTTGTTTTGTGAAATTGAATTTTGATAATTAATGAATAAAGGTAGGAAAATATATATTTGAACGATTATTAACGATTTTTCATAGAAGTTCTTGTTTTGATAAATATTTGTATTATTTGTATTAATTCCAATTGGAAAGAAAATGGCGGCTGTCTTTACGTAACGTTATATTGTTTGTTTACTAAACATCGGGTAACGCCAGTAGTACTGGCCCAGTACCACCCCTGCCACCTCCATCGCTACAACAACTATAACAACTACAACTACAACGACTACTGCAGTACTGCCACTACTACCACTACTACCACACTGTTACGACACTACAAACACGACAGTATACGCTGCTGCTGATAGCTGATTCCACTACCGACCGCCGCACCACTACAACTGTCCGACACCCAATCGGCAACACCGCGTGTTCGACCCGTCAACCATCGTTATCTCCTTTGTTAGACCCGAAATTTACGAAATTGTTTGTGTACGCGATGTGAAGAAAATAGTGGGGATGCGCAACTTCGACCAATATACAAGTACTTCTGAGTTCTGACATACCTGTCTATTTTGTCACGGTAGTTCGTACTTCGTGCACGCCCCCTCTCTGCCACACTACTCGCAGGCTGTACCACTGCTTAATGTCTCCCGAAAAAGCGTCTTCGTAGTTCGTAGAATATTTTTTGTTTTTCCACAAATTTCTTTTCACGTCCGACGTTGTCACTCGTCTTTCGTGCTGCCATCGACGACCGCAGGGGCCAGGGGCAGATCTCTGTCACATCGAAAATCGTAACTTCACCGTGAACGCTTCATCGCTGTCGACTTTGAGCGTGCGACCACGTTGGTGGTGATCCACAGACAGGCAGACAGCCAGCCGCCCGCCCACCGTCGACCAGCCATCCTGCCCGTACATCGCGCCGTGCTCCGACGATATAGTGTTGTTGTTCTACACTGTCCGCTTGATCACGATCGCCACAGTAAGTAGAATCGCGTTCGTACCGCTTACGCTTATCGAGTTTACCATTTTAAACGTTCATTGTAAAAATTATTAGAAACAAACATGGTTTACAAAATAAAGAAACACTCAACAATGCCCGTTCACGTAGTCGATGACCATAACGATGCATTGCGATATATCTACCGGGAAATAGGTTCAAAACACTTGCCCTTGTATGGCAATGTTCTGTTGCATTTCGATTCGCATCCCGACTTGTCCATTCCGAAAGATATGCCGGCCGATTACGTTTACGAAAAAGAACAGTTGTTTGACTCGTTGAGCATCGAGAACTGGATACTGCCAGCTGCGTATGCCGGACATTTTGATAAAATTATCTGGGTAAAGCCTCCTTGGGCACGGCAATTCAATGAAGGTGAAATTGTGTTCAGTATTGGCAAGCACAAGACGTCTGGCGCCATACGATTGACTAATTCTAGTGATTTCTATCTGAGTGATGGTCTTTATTGTTTGGAAAATGATCTCATTAATATAAGAACAATCAAGTTGTTTGTGTTCACCATGTGTAGTTCAGTGTTTGACGATGGCGAGGAAAAATTTGAGCTATTACGAAATAAGTTTATCGAGTACACTAGAGATAATCCTTATTATATCTTAGATTTTGATTGTGACTTTTTCTCCACAAACAATCCATTTCTGACCATGTACGACAAAGCAAATCTGTATACTAATCTACATAAAATTTACTCATATAACTCTCCGACTAATAAAGAGGACGTTAACAGTTTACTACAATGTTCTCGCTCTAGAGAAGTATTATTGCAAGAATTAGAATCTGTGTTCATGCATCTTGATGACGGGAAGTCATTAGATGAGTATCCGACTGAAACTTTAACTGCCGTAAATACTGAAGATTTATCGTTTATTGTAAACGAGTTGTTGAAACATTACGATACAATTGACTGGTTGATAGTGCATAATGCTGGTTGCACAATTGACAACATTGAATTACCTAACCATCACACGGACATAGCTGATATCGCGAAATCTATGGATATTGTATTCAACTTTTTACCTATTATACACGAACCAGCTGCCATTACAATTGCCTTGTCCACAGGAGATGATTACTGTCCATTGGAAAGTGCGCGCTTTATTAATGAATCATTGCTAGCAAAGCTAGAATGCTTGTATAATAAACTGAATGTTCAAAAATGTACTGAAGGTTCCTAAATTACTGAATTAAATTATATTTAAAGTATAAGTTTATATTATAATTGCTAGTAATTTTTTTTATTCTGTATACAACATAATATTTTTTTACAACTAGTATTATCTTAAATTTAAAGTTTATTTGAGAGTCTTGAGTTTTAAGTACATTATCATTAAATTATACATTTTATTATTTTTGTTTTTAATAACTATATTAGTATGTCTAAACTTTAAATGTTAACAAAACAATATTTAGTATTTAAGTATTATATTATTATATTATATAAACATTTAATTTAATGAGAAATTCTCTCTAAATATGGCTATCAATTATTTTAATAATATTATGTTTTAGTTATGTCCATTTTAAATATTTAATGTATCAGCCAAAAATAATAATCATTCTAATGATAGCACTGCTTAGTTCTTAAAGTGTTTTAGATAAATAATTTTAAGTAGGTATATGAAATCAATTTTTGCATGTCTATCAATTGTCAATTTATAAAATAGAAAAACCAATCTAATTAAATCCAGGCCATAATTTATTAAACAGATAAAAGTATGTAACTAAAATTTGACTTCATTAATTGTAGGATGTCTATTTTTAAAACAAATTAAATATTAACCATTTCACCGAAGGCTGTAAATTATATTATTTTATTTTTTTACTAAGTTATTTTCAATTATTATAAAGTTGGAGTTAATTTGTTAGTCATTAGTATTGATGGTTCAAATTGTTGATTGAATGTCCTAAGTATATTATTTAAGTTATTGTTAAACCATACATCACTTATTCACTGTTCAGTTTAATTTTCATCTAACAGTGATTGTTTGATTAAATACCTCTTTAAAATTGTGATGAATAATAGATATTTTTCTATGTTAAATACTAGGTGAAGTATGTATTAAATTCATATGAATCAAATTAAAGTTTTTGGCTCAGAATTAAATTGTATGTTTATAGATTACCTACTATACAATATTTGTTTTTACAAATATATTTTTTTATGTGTGCACTTAAATGTTAAGTTTAATATTATTACTTTATTATTACTCAAAATCATTTGGAACTTTTCAAAATATATTTTAATTTTTTTTGGGTTAAAATTAAATAATTATGTGAAAAAATATTATCGTAGAATTAAATGAATTTGTATTTTAACTCAAATTAATAATATTGTAGGATACCAATACAAGTATTTTTAAGATCTTGATCTTGATAATTTATTCATGTTTTTATTTTTAAAACATAAATTATAGTATTTGTGTAACATTTGTGTCAGATTTACTGTTTTTGGACTAAGAAATATTTAAATGTTGTAAATCTACAAATTCAATTTTATTCTATTAATACTATATTTTTTTTATAAATTTAAATATATGCGATTTTACAAACAAACTATTGCGTATTGAGTTTTAAATTATAATATTTTAAAACAATATAAAATTATTATAATTACCATATTATACACGGCATTATATTATTTATCAGATATATTCCTTTATTGATTTACACAATAGGCATGCATAATTGGCATAAATATTGTTCTATTTTTTTTGAAAACTGCAAATTTTTTATAAATCTAGGTATAAACTAATAAACAGTAAAAAATTTCCTATTTTCCTTTTTTTTTAGTAATAATTATTACTTGTCTTTTAAGAATTTAGCTAAAATAATAAGTTACTAATATTCTATTTTAATATTATACAATTTATTACAACTCCTATGATCAGTTTTCTATAAAATATTAACAGAAGTTTAATATTATTTTACTTTTCAGATCCTTTGAATCATTATAGATGGACGATTATACTGCTATGCGGAGGCATTTGCCATTTGCAGACTATGATGAAGAAGGAAACTACATTGAAGAAGAAGACAACAATAAGGATGAAGAAACTCGTATTTTGGAATTAAGAGCTTTAAAAAAATCTACCTTAAGTCGTTACACTCCTGAAGTTAGGGATAAAGTAGATTCAATAATTGATGAGCTACTGTGTGAAACTATATTTAATATTCATAGAGACTTAAAATTAGGAATTCTTGATCCAAGCCGGTATGATTCTAATTACGTAAGACGCTCTAACTCTCCAACCTTAGTAAATATGACTGAACAATTGAATATCACTAAACCAACCCAGGAAGTTGATTGTCCGAAATGTCATGTACCAGTGAAGTGTCTTTTATTATCTAAACATTTAGCATTATGTATGAATCCACACCAAAACACTTATTCTTATAGTAGTAGAAATAGTTCTCGAATAGCTCGACAGCGTATACAAGAAGGTTTTAAGACCGCTTATGACGAATCTAAAAATGATAGTGAAGATGAGCGAGCTAAACCAAAGAGACGAAGCAACAAAGGAAAAAAGACCACAATCAAAAGCGTAAGGTAAAATTACCCAAATCTAGTTATTTCCTTATTGTACTTTTTAGTTATAGAATTATAATAATTTAATTTAATCAATTATCATATATTTTAGTTATCTAAATAAAATATTGTACAATGTACATTTCTTTTTATGTCAAACAACCTTGCTATTATTATAATTGTTTTAATTGAATATTTTCTTCCATATTTCCTACTTAGCTTTTTTATGTGTATTGTATACTTTAAATTGGTTAAATTACTATAAACCAACCTTTTTTTTATAGTGTCCCACAAATTTACTTTTTTTAAATACTATAGTCTTGTTAAAATTAAAATTAATTTTTATTTTCCTACTGTTATTAATTTATGAAAGCAAGTCATAAAAAATTGTTTGCGAATCAATTTTCTGTCGGGACCTAGGTTATCACTGCTTTAAATACTAATTGCTATTAAACTAACTATTCATCAGCTTGCCAATATTTCTAGAGAAATCTAGTCTAGGATTTAAAATATTTATATTGAATGAACGCCATTCAAATATAACTTAAGGTCCACAATACCACTGTAAAATTTACATCACTATGATTTATCACTAATCCATGTTAGGTATACCAAAATTGAAAAGTTTCTTGTTATGTACTTATTATAATTTACTGGAAAGGTAACTAAGTGACTATTATTTAATTTTTTTTTTAATTAATTGCTAGTTGAAATTAATTAATTTAAATTAGGTAGTCTAAGTTAATAATGTACCTACGTCCTACACTGTACATGTCTACTTACTATGCTTGAGATTAGTACCTCCCTTATTAAATAATGCAGTATTGCAATGCGCCGCTTATATTTTGAGCCTTATGAAAATCTTCAAGGTTTTGTAACCATTTCTATCGCAGTAATATTAATATTTATATAGAAAAATCTCGAAATAATAATAATAATAATATTAATCCACCTTCAGTATAGGCCTATAATCGTTTGTATAATGTACCTATGTTTGACTTTAATTTGTTCCGACTTTCTAAATTTAAAAACGTGGATGTCTTGTTCATTGAGCCAATTTCAACATTATAATGCCCTGAAATTTTCAAGTAACAGATACATATTGATACCTATACCATATATCTAGTTTTTAAGTACCTACCTACCTTTGTATAAAAGGACTATCGGTCAAAAAGTCCGAGCACATTTTTATCTTCAGACAAAAAGTCAGAAAATAAAAAAATTCTATTCTATTAAATTTTCATTTTTAAGTATATTAATAATCAATAGTATAATATATTAGGTATATATATATATATATATATATATACAGGGTGTCCCGTGAGGATTTACTCATTGCGATATCTCCTGAAATAATGGAGATATCGTAATTATGTTTTTTATTAAGACTCGCAGAGGTAAGCACTACAAATATTTTATTTTTTAATTAAATTAAATTTTTTAGTAAAAAAGTTAAAAAAATTATTTTTTTATTTTTTATTTTTGAAAAAATTGAAGATAGCCATTCTATAGAGTATATTTTTGTGAACATTTTGAGCTTTTAACATTTTATTTTCATTAATCTCACGATTTTTAATAATTTTTTTAGTTTATTAGTAAAACGTCAATAAACTGGTTTTTGTCCGGGCGGCGAGTCCCCCTCTACGGCTAATGAGTAAATCCTCACGGGACACTGTATATATATATAATTAATATTAATTTTAAAAATGTAATTAATTTTCTTATACAATATTAATATATTATATTTGATTACTATTCCTTATACTTCTTATTCAAAATAATTATAAATATAAACCTTTTGGCCTTAACATTATGTACAAATTTTATATATATTTTTTTTAAATCACAAGTCATAAACAACGAAAACGTAACTTGTTTTAAATTACTATTATTATTATTTTAGAGTGATTGATGTTTGTATTGACTATTTTTTTAAAATTATTTATAACATTTGTTAGAGCCTAAAGGTTTATAATTTTTCATACATATTTTTGAACTTACTTTCATATTGATTGTTATTCATACGGAACAAATAATGTTTAAATGAATATTAATTATACATATTTATATATGCTATTTATTGCTATTATATGTAATGCTTATAATATATTTCATAATTGTTAATAAAAATGTAATAGAATATTTAGTATTTTTAAACTTTTTGTCAGACAATAAAAAAATTAGTGGACTTATTGCCCTACTTTTTTTAAAACTTACCTTTCGCCCGGGATTTGTATACAAGTTTACTTGTGTCGTTGTGTTAGGTAAGATGAGTTATATTCAAACAAAAGTTTTTAATTATACATTCAATTTTAAAAAAAATAAATAGGAACTTAAATGAAACTGTATACAGTATGCCTGTATAATATTTATGAATAATTTTTTTTTTTTTTTTTTTTTATTAATTTTATCCCGCGGCAACTTAGGCCATTGGGAGAGGGGTTGGTACTGTAGGTTATTTAACGGTAGGGGGTATTACACGTGGGTGTATTTTGGCAGAATTTTGAATGGGGCACCCGTAGGTTTCTGCCATGCCCCGGAGTGGGGGATGGCGGCACTTGTTTTCCGGACACCGTGACTTGCCCGGAGAAAAATGCCGCCCAGTGGCCGGGAGTCGAACCCGCGACTGCCAGCGCCGCAGACGACGCGTTAGACCGCTCGGCCACCTCGTCCCCCATTTATGAATAATAATGACTTGAATTTTATGTATACTGAATAAAGAAATTAATTACTATAACTTTATTTTTATTAATAAAAATAAACATTTTGTATATTATGTACTTATTGCATTTAAAATAAAATAAATTAAATGCTCATACTTTTTCTTCACTGCATTAAATATAAAATTAAACAAAACTAATACTTGGGAAAAAAAATATTAAGACAATACAATAGGTAATAATAATAATAATAATAATATACATACCTAATAGAATTTTGTTAGGTAGAACCATTGATTTTATAATATACAGTATATTATATTATAAAATCAATGGTAGAACTGTTGAAGGTACCTAAATGCTTATTTTTATGTGAGTGAGTAACCACGATTAATGAGTAGATAATACAATTAATGGAATACAGTTGTTGTATTATGTTTACTTTCTAGAATAGTACAATTTGATAAAATTATTTATTGTAATATTAAAAATTAAGTAGTTAGGTATTTACTGTTTATGACTAATATAGGTAGGTACACAAAAAAATCATCTAAATTAGAAAAAATTTAATTACGATTTCCCATCACGATTAATCGAACACATCATTTGTATACAATTCGTGAGAATTGTATAATATATAAAATATACATTTATATTTTATACCACAGTCCTCAATTTATAGCCGTCACTTTTACCAGGAAATCCGTGTACGACATCCTATGGGGGGACATCCACCAGTGATTAGGAACGACTGTATCAAGTTAGGAAGTTAAAATCTGGAATTTAGATGATAATTATGAATTATTAAAATAATATATAGTATAATAGTAAGATTATTAAGTAGGTAGTAAAATATAAGTCAGATCATAGAATAGGTACACAATTGTGTTAAGAGGACGCCACACCCGCATGTGTTGTCTCCGTCTTACAAACGCGTAACATAGCAAATTACGTCCACGGAAAACAAACGAATCGGCATCAAAAAGTGGTTTTAGAGTAAAAATACCTATAATAAAACTTAAAGAGAACAATATTTCGGAGGGAACCTCATCGGGGTTTTGTATTAATCTAAATACACAGCTAGATATTGAAGGCACAAAAACTCTTTTTTTTAATTTTTTTAAATAACCACAACTTTTTTAATAGTTAATATTTTTAAAAACGCCGATGAGGTTCCCTCCAAAATATTGTTCTCTTTAAGTTTTATTATAGGTATTTTTACTCTAAAACCACTTTTTGATGCCGATTCGTTTGTTTTCCGTGGACGTAATTTGCTATGTTACGCGTTTGTAAGACGGAGACAACACATGCGGGTGTGGCGTCCTCTTAAGAGACATATTTTGTTGTCTTCGTATTTCAAGTGCGTAACATAGAAAAATTGTACAGCTCAGCAGATTAAGTTTAGCTCTGTTAGTTTAAAAAATAGAGTGAATTTACCTATTATACAATTTAAAGGCAAGATTATTATATAGGAAATCTCATAAGCTTTTTATTTTATTTTAATTTTAAAGCGAGTTATGAGTATTTTAAAATGGTAAATTGTTTGTACATCTTAAAATACGCATAACTCACTTTTAAATTAAAATATAATAAAAAGCTTATGAGAGGCCCCAGATAACAATCTCACCTATACATTTTATAAGAGGTAAATTCTCTCTAATTTTCAAACCATAACGGAGCTAAACGTGATCTTCTGAGCGTACAATTCGCCATTTGTTATGTTACGCATTTGCAAGACAGAGATAACAAATGTCCGTGTTGCGTCCTCTTAATGACTTAATATAGGTAGCGCGAATATCGTATATACTCATAGTTTGTAGGTTGTTCGAACTTCGAAGTATATTTAAACATGGTCATACAGATTAAGTTTTAATTAGATAGGTACCTACCTATAATTTAAAAATAATAGCTGGTTAGCAAATAGGTAACAAATGGATACGTTTGGCCATTGGGTAATAGTTTTCAACCGATATAAAATGTCTATTGACTATCAAAGTAGCATAATAATAATATAATATAGAGTATTATAATATTATGTACCTACCGATCTATAGTAATCTATATCGCGACGAAATGATAATAATATAATATAATATAATACCTATATATTATAAAATGCATTTCAATATTAATTGGGTATACCTAATTTAACTATTTATATAATAATATTTTGTTATATAAAATGCATATTGTATATTGTTTTAACAAATTATAGTAATTAGGCAATCAGTGAATTATTAAAATATTGTTGAACGGTACCGGCGGGTACCTACTACCTACTATCTCCTCATAGTTTTTGATCATCAGTCATACCTACGGTTTTCACACAATCATAGACTATCGACTTCTTAATTTCTTTGTATATTGTATGCATAGGTAATAATAACGTTTAATCTCAAAAGGCGTACCTATTATATGTTTTATATGGGCAACAAAGGTTATATGAAAATCGGCGTTTCCTTCCAATTTGCGTGACTATAAATCGCACACGGTATCCTAGTAGGTATTCCCTACATATACTATTCAATTAGGTATAAATTGTAAATTTCAAAATTTGTAACGTTTGGAGTCGCTGGAAATTGTGAGAAAAATCTGTAAATACATATTATACATATACACAATATTACACATCCACATATTATGATTTATATTCCATACCTAGGTACCTAACTATATAATATTATCGGTGGTCAAAAATGTTCAAACGACTAAGTATATTATTATAAATCACTATTTCACTATAAATTATTTTTAATACAAGTAACATACATATTATTATGGATATATGATATTGTACCTCCGATTTATCACATTATATACAATATCATAATCCGATAACCGTAATATTGTATTAAACTCAAAAATTTCGTATGATATAATAATAAATTATGCTACAATATCAATAAGATCCAACGAAAAAAGTCTGTATTAGATATTCAGATCTGGTGGTTGTGGTCGACGGCAACGGGCGCTTCGACGGGTTGATCAATTATTTTGACTTTCTGATATTTCTCTGCGAACAATACCGTAAGACACGAGTTTAGTGGTGGTCATGAAAATTGCATAATATATTATTATTATTTTATATGCTTCTGCAGCTACAGGCGTACGTGAAACCTGTATTACACGTAAATTAGTTGACTTAAAACATGCATGGCTTACGCATAGGTACATCGTACATCGTACCTATTAAATATCTAATTTTAGATGTAGGTAGTTAGGTATACACATTTACAAGGGTATGATACTGGTACCAAGCGAACAATTTAAAACTAAGATTTAGGTATCTACATTGAATATTTCGTAGCTTTAAAATTGTATTTTTAAATCGTTAAACTCCTTTACCGTTTGTTTATAATATAATGCTCTTGAATAGTAAACACTAAATATACACACAATTATTTATGAATGTTTAAAATAGCTATTTTTTATTTTATTTGAAATTCTAATGTAGAATATTTTTTTCGAAAATAATGTTGAATTAATACTGGTATCATATCTTATAATTTTTGGATAGTAAATAACATAAAATAAACTATTTTGATTTGGATATAGGCACATAGCTATATATAGCTATATATGTGGTATAAAACATGTAGTTATAGTAATTTTATTGAATTTAGGTTTTGATATTTGTGGTTAAAAATAAGACATATTGAAGACATTTCGGGGTAGTGGTGGGGTCCAGTTATTTATGAATAATTTTTACTAATTAGTTATTAGTACTATATCGGAAGACCAAGTAAATTCAATTATATATTTATACTTGGAAACAAAATTTTTGTGTTAACAATTAAATTATTAAATAGTAATTCTCTCTCTTTTGTATTCAATCCTGAGATTTATTCGTAGCAATTTTTCACTCTTCCTTTAAATAGTACCTAATTACTACAAGGTATAATGAAAATTAATAATTACACTTTTAAACCAGAGATTCCCATAACCCAGACTTAGTTTTTCCTGCAAGGCTACTCATGTTTATTACGAATTAGTTATGTATACATCTACCAAACACCAGTGTACTACTGTCCGCTAATATGAATAATATTAGAATTTTTCAAAATGTCAATACATTTATATCAAATTAATGAGGCAGTAAAAAATAACCTACATATAGTAAGGTTTTAAATTAATAATTTACTACTTCTATGCGAGGGGTGTGTCAATGATTACGACGTATATTGATGTAGTTTTCGTGATTTAGGAATTCGAGAAAACAATAAATAAAAATGAATAGCGTATAAAAATAATAATAATTTACACAAAATATAAAATACAATTACATCCATGATAAAGGTCAAAGATCAATAAATAAAAATTTATTTTCCGAGCTCTACCATGTGGTCTTTGGGGCCCTTTGGGAACATCTGTATAAAACAAATCAAGTATATTATACAAACTGTATATATCTATTACAAAACATTAAACAACATAAAAAAATTGAATTTAATGTAAAATTATGTGTGCATCCAAACAGTAATAATTTATAAAGTAAAGTTTGAAAAAGATGAGTAAAAAAATTCTAAAAAGTGAGGGCAAATGTTTGGTAGAATCAGTATTGTATAATAATATAAAATACTAAATAGTACCTACTATATATATGTACCTAACCTATACGGCTATACCTATACTAATAAAATATCAAATTTTTTTTTATAGAGATAATTCACGCTCAAAAGATTCGACTTACTAGCCATCTTGAGCATTATCACACCCCACCATATGCTCCATCCCCAACCGACTAAACAGAAAAGCACCGTGAACAGCTGAGCAGCGGCCACGACGAAGTTCACGCAGAACGCGCCTACCCTGGACTGGAAGGTGTCGTTGACCGTGAATCTTGGCTTGCCGATGCACAGGCACATCATCCCGCTGGAGAACGTGCCTATCAACCACATAAATAACACAGATAATATTTAAAATTATAATTATTTTCGATACTCAATTTTTATCAAGTTCATAATATTTTGCGTAGTAATAAAAAGTAAAATATATATATATATATATATTAGAAATGTAGACATTTTTTGTAGTTAGTTGTGGGATTGTAATTAATATTTAACGGAAAATTAATGATATGTAAGGTTTTTTTTTTTTAATTTACTTTTTTTTAAGTTTACTTCATACTCTATGGATCTCATAAAATCTATGCATCTTACGGGAATTAATTATTTTATAAAAGTATAAAACCAAATTGTTGACCAATACCTAAAACAAATAAGATGTTTCAGAAATTGGATCAAGTTAGTTGGTACTTTTTGGCTATTTGCCTATTTGTATTTTCTATAGATTTTTTGAAATGTTTGAAAAACACATGCTATTAAAAATAAGGAGATTCAATGACTGTTATTTTGTATCATTTAAAATATATTTGATTAATTGTAACCTACATGTGTAAAATAATGTATAAGTAGTTTATTTTATATTCTTTATATAATTATATAATAGTGTGCCATGTGGCCTTGCGGGTACGCAATTTTAATTTTAATTTGTCTAGTGGGATTGTAATTAATATTTAATGGAAAATTAATAGTATGTAAGGTTTTTTTTAAAGTTTACTTCATACTCTGGATCTCATAAAATCTATGCATCTTACGGGAATTAATTATTTTATAAAAGTATAATACCAAATTGTTGACCAATACCTAAAACAAATAAGATGTTTCAGAAATTGGATCAAGTTATTTGGTACTTTTTGGTTATTTGCCTATTTGTATTTTCTATAGATTTTTTTAAATGTTTGAAAAACACATACTATTAAAAATAAGGAGATTCAATGACTGTTATTTTGTATCATTCAAAATATATTTGATTAATTGTAACCTACATGTGTAAAATAATGTATAAGTAGTTTATTTTATATTCTTTATATAATTATATAATAGTGTGCCATGTGGCCTTGTGGGTACGCAATTTTAATTTTAATTTGTCTAGTGGGATTGTAATTAATATTTAATGGAAAATTAAAAGTATGTAAGGTTTTTTTTTAAGTTTACTTCATACTCTATGGATCTCATAAAATCTATGCATCTTACGGGAATTAATTATTTTATAAAAGTATAATACCAAATTGTTGACCAATACCTAAAACAAATAAAATGTTTCAGAAATTGGATCAAGTTATTTTGTATCATTTAAAATATATTTGATTAATTGTACCCTACATGTGTAAAATAATGTATAAGTATTTTATTTTATATTCTTTATATAATTATATAATAGTGTGCCATGTGGCCTTGCTAGTACACAATTTTAATTTTAATTTGTCTATTGTAATACATCTTTCATTTTATTATTTAATCGACAAAAATGAATAATATGCACAATTGTATGTCATTATATTTGAATCAAATTGTTTTCTTAAACTTGATTTTTGATATTATGTGTAAAATTATTTATATAGGTAGTTCATAAAATAGTTTAGTTTAGTCTTAAGTCCATTCTAATACAATAATTATAATACCGACTTATAAACGTAAAAGTAATATAATTATATTACCTATGTTATTTAGTTCAACACAAATTCAACAAAAATGTATAATATAACCTTTTAAACTTTAAAAATTTAAAATTTAATGTAACTACTTATTATATTTTAAATTAGTTTTTTCGCTATACTTATGTTCTTAATAAAAAAAACAAAAATTTCTATAAATTTGAATTTTTGTATACATTTGTACCTACTTCATATGGTATTACTGTTGTAATAGATACTTAATACTTACTTATTATTTTTGTGGACATTTAAACACAACCAGGGGCTTATTTAAAAAAATATTAGGGTGGGTTCACAAAATAAAATTAAATAGATATGTTTAGTCATTATCACTGTGTATAAATTTAACACTTTGTTTAACAATATGGGCACATATCTTTCAGTGTTTTATAATAAGATAATACCCATATTTATTTTATAAAATGATAAATATTAATAAACATAAAAATTATTTTTATTTCACTGTGCATAATATGCTTGACAATATTATAATAGCTGAATAAGTTTTTGGTGTTTATTACATTGTAGATACTAGCTATTAGAATACCTACGTATTAACTATTTCTCCAATTTTTATTTCCGTAAGGTTTAAATCTGTTATTTTAGTTTCTGAGCAGAACGATGTATGTTTTGATTTTACAATTATATGTGGGGAAGTGAAAATGCTTAGAGTTTAAACTTAGTGGGAGATTTCTGATAGGTGATTGGATCTAGATAGGACTTTGAGGGGGGAGGGTCAAAAGTAAAAATGTTCTAATTTGGAATATTGGCAATATTCATCAAAATCGAGAAAATTTTCAAAATTTTTTTTCGTTAATAATTCACACATTTTTTATGTTCATACCTTAAGTTTTACTTAATAAATGCACATATAGACTAAATGACTATTGTATTTAGTAAAATACAAACGTGGAGTACATGGGCACCTTGTGCGCCCTTTCGCCATAAATACGCCACTGAACACAATATATTATGTATTATGTATATTATATTTAAAAGTGTAAACAAACAGATGATTAGTGTGCACTTCCAACTAAAAATGTCAGGAGGTGAAAATGCACTCGAACCTTTTCATTTTAAAGTCTATATCATCGCTGTAATACCTATTTAAAATATCTTATATAGTTACATACTTTGATATTATTATATGGGTAGGTATACAAATTATTTTTATCTTCTACAATTATTTTTGACCAGAAAACATTCGATAAAATAAATATTACCTGCTCCCGGAATAATGACGTTGAACACTAAACACAACCATGCCAGTGTTACTGGTAGTACTGGTATAGCACCTTTCATAACGGACGAATGATCAACGAAAACTGCATCCAATTTAGGTATATTCTAGTGCAAAAAAAAACAAATATAATACATTATATTATATTAGATACATGTACAGTGATTATAAAAGGTTTAAGGAAAGTAAAAAAAAAGTGAAGTCTACAACACACGCAAAGTGTACATTTACCTAATAAGAAAAGAGAAGAAAAGAAACTAGGTTAAACGTCTTTATTAAAATGTAGCAAGTGTGTTATTGGGATTCATTGAACTTCACATAAGTTCTAGAAATAATCCGTCATATTTTTACCAACTTCAAAATGGTTATGATTTATCCAGAGCCGTGTCAAGCAATTCAGCGCCCCGGGGTAATTCGAGCCCTTTCCCTACAATTTGGGCTCCAAGTAGCATATTAAGCTCAAATAACGACGCCCCTTACTTTTACAAAACTATGGCGCCCGGGGGCAATTGCCCCCTTTGCCCCCCCTTAACACGGCTCTGGATTTATCACCTAAAGTCACATACATAATATAATATTAGGTACCTACTTTTATTATGTTTAAAAATAATTTATTTAATTCATAATATTTTATAATTTGGACTCTATACATTGTTGTGTGCATGTCCACTATAAATCAACAAATTTATAATATTTGTATTTTAATTGATTTAAAAAGTAAAATATAATTATTGCACATTTCATAAGCACCTACCTACTTACACTTTTACATAAATTTAAATATATTGTAATAACACCATTATTCCAAGTGTTGTACACTAGTTTACCAACTCAATCTAGACACGAAAAGAAATCATGCCATTAATATTACAAAAATTAGTAAATATAAATCACAACAAAATTCTGGTGGTATTAACCTAAAAAAATCAGTTATAAATTATCAAATTTTTTTTTAGCAAATTGCAATTTATACATTATAATATATTAATATAATTAATAGATAATAGTAGGTAAATGGATAACTCATAAGCAATAAGCATACTATAGGTACTTAAACGCTTAGCTCGGCTCTGCTCTGCAGAATCTATGTTGATAGTAACCAGAGTCAAGAATTAATTTAATACGAATATTAATTTAATTATATTGTAGTTATATTAGGCAGGTGCAAGTGTTCCTATTAATATGTTGTATTTTAAATGGTGTGTCAAATTTTTAATGTCCTATGTAGTAGATTTACGCTGTTGTGGTTTTATAATATTATATAAAACCCAAGAACCAAACACTATGATATTTGATATTATGTCAGTTTTAATGATAGGGGTGTTGTCTAACTAATAAGTTATAGCTAGTGTAGTAGTAGTGTAACCCGTATAAAGTATGTGGGTGTCAGGTTTATATAAAGTATAAACAACGGGTCGACGTCCTTTCGACATTTATTTTAACGCGTGTCCAAAAAGGTTGAGTTTTCTAATAATCACCGAGTCATGAGGGCTTATTCGATAAATTAATCATATTTTATAGTACCTATATTATATATATATATGCACACTCATACTTCTATAAGATATTTATATATTCTACAGTATTAAAAATTTGAAAGACTATAAATCAATGTTGTTTCGAAATAGGTACCTAATACCTATGCATAATTTTACATAGCAACCTATATAGCTTTATAATATGAATCATACAATCGTTTATAGAGTTTGTACATTATTATGTTAAACAATATTATTACCATTTGGGTATAAGTGTGTATTTTATAATATATACTCGATTATACGATTATTTTATAAAAAAAAACTATATAGGCATTATAGGTACTATCAAAGTATAATCGTACAACCGTGGAATATAATTATGTATATCATATTGTCATATTGGTTGGTATAAATTATGTGTGTTAAACGGGTATCAATAACATTGAATACATATTATATCAGCGTGCACGGGAAGTTCTTTGAAAACTTGCTTTTCCCAATACATTGAACATTTTGAGAGGAAAAATTTAAGAGGAGTGGTGGAATGTTATCATCTTATCGACTTGTCCCGAGTCACACACCTGTAGTAAGTGTCACTTGTATAAGTCACACACACAATACCCATATGCTTCATTGGAAGGTACGGTTTCAAATTTATTTGTCCTATGCTACCTATTTGATATCTAATGGATCGATGTGAATTTAGAAGTTAAGCTAAGTACCTATACTTAAATGTATTATTGACTATTGTATAATATTGGCCCCATAATGAATAGTTATCATTTAACTATCATTTTTTATAACGTAAAGGTATAGTATATTATATAAATATGTAATAGACTAATGCAGTGGTGGGCAAATGGTCAGGGGAGGACTGGATTATAGGACGATCCCGCCCATGGACTTATTTTACAATATTTATAATAGCTTATACATAAATATATAAAAGGGAAAACATAAATTATATTTTTTATGATCAAATACCTAATGTATGATACAAAATCAGCTCCCATCCCCATGACAAAATCATTCGACCACCACTGAACTAATATAATGGTAGGCGGAAAAAAAGCCCAGAAATATAAATATAAATGTGTACACATGTATAGGTACTATACTCCTAATTAGTAATTACCATTTCTACTATGACAAAATATAATAATATATTATAATGAAAATAAAAATATAAATCCAATATTATGTATACGTCTTGATATTTTGTGTTATAAGTTATAAGTCAAAAAACATAAGTCTTAGGTATATACTATATACATTATACATACATCTGTGTTGGGTAAATTACTTTTAAAAAGTAATGAAATTACGTTACTCGTTACTTCAAATATTTTTATTTAAATTACATTTGCGTTACCTATATTTATTTTTATCACTTTAAAGTTTAAATTACTTTTTAATTAATAAAGTAGTGCGTTACAAATAATGTTACTTTTTTTATCATTGTATTTTTAACCATATTCAATTCATATGATTCAATTATTATGTATATATTTTACAATCATAGACCTAGTGATAATATACCTGTTATAGTATCAATGTATTATGCACAATTAATGTACAATCGTCTCACCTATATGGCTATACAGTCATAAGTCATATATCATAATTAACTTTTATTAAATTTTATTTTTAAACCAAACTCTTTTCTTTCTGCTAATAAAGTCTCTTGTTTGCTACAACAACGGCATAACACAGAAATCGTGATTTTACACAAAACGCATTTGAAAATTTTATTTGCAATTAAATGACTATAAAATCATAGTGATAATATTTATTCCTGGAATGTTAGGTAATATTGTTAACTATTATCGGAATCAAAAATAAATATAATTGATTTTTATTTTTCTGGGTATATCCTATCGGCTTGTTTTTGTAATACATTCAAAACTATTATTTTAATAACGTGAAAATAACGCGTTACTTCGTTACTTTATAGAAATTAGTTTTATTGCAATTGCAATTACTTTAAGTAAAATGTAATGAAATTACTGCTGCGTTACTGAAAAAGTAATTGCGTTACAGTAATTTGTAATTTGCGTTAGGTACGTTAGTACCCAACACTGTACATAGTAAAATATTGTCTGTTATCTAAATATATTATACTACCACCTGTTTTATATTAACTATTATTATATTATTATTTATATAGTTGTGTAATTTTTGTATACATTATTTTGACCCACGGAAAAAAAGCCCAGAAATATAAATACAAATAAATGAACACAATATTTTCCCCATACGGTCGTAGCTACTACATGGTACGTTAATAGTACGTTTATAAGTTTTAATATTAAGCTATTTAACATATATTTATATCAACATTGCCCAAAATTAATTATATTAATTAATAGTATATATAGGTACCTATTAATATAATATATTATAATATTATAAACATATATAGTGATTAGCTGTAACCACACACAAACTGTTGATAAGGGGATAAATATAAGTAAGTTTAATGAGACTTTGAGAAGAATTACAGTTTTAAATCTTATATACCTAAATATTAATTCAAAATATTTTAAAAGTGGCCCTATTTCAGCACGAACAATGTTAGTTGCGTCATAATATGAGATTACCTACCAAAAAAAACGGTTTCACGCTTGACAAACTTACAAATATGTACCTACATATCATTTACCTAAAGAATATTTGCCAAATTTTCACAATACATAGAAGGTAACTAAAAAACAAAAACAAAACACTAAGAAATAGATTTTCTCTATGTATTGTGAACACTTGGTAATGTTACCGTAAATAGGTAGGTACCGTAACTCGTAAGTTTGTAAAGTAAGTTTGTCAAAACCATTTTCATCGATAGTGGGTGGTGTGGATGTTTGGCGTCTTTTCTAAAGTAATTTACAGTATTTAATGCAAATACATATCGTCTATCAACATCATGAAAATTAATTATATGCATACGAAAAACACCAAAATTGTACACTGGATGCATCAATTACTTATACTGTTGTACCTAATTAAATTGGAAAGTGATAATTTTAAATATTTGGTATTGGGTTATTTAGTAGGTAGTCCATAGATCGTACTCGAAATGTTACTTTTCATTGTTTGTACATGTTTTAGACTTTAGTTTAGGAAGGCCTATTAGCCTGTTGGTTAATTTATATGTACCTACATAACTAGATAAAGTAGGTAATAATATTTTATGATTATATGCCGAACTGTATGGACAATACCTTTATATTTTAAAAGACGTATATAATAATAGTGTGACCGAATTTTTCAAGCTTTTACATTGTCATTTTTAGAATATTTCGATTTCCACATAAGATTATGATTTATAGCAAATAAGTGATAAACATAAAAGTTGCACAAAATAATATAGGTGCAGTTTAACATATTTAATGTCACAGAATTCCCAAAATGTTTGTAGAAGGTACTTACAGTTTGTAATGTTATAAAAAGGCACAAATAATATTATGCTCTAAAAATATTCACTTTACAACGGAAGAAATTATATAGTTTTTTGTTTAAATATCAATTAATTATTTTTATTAATATTTATGATCAAAATCTATTTACCTCGCTTAGCTTACAGACAATAATTGTACCATTGGTTTTAAACACATTCGCACGGAGTTTTGACACAATACGTCTTTTTTGACGTGACACTGGATTTTTACCTTTCGGCATATTGAAAAAAGTTGCGAATAATTTCAAACTATTTTTGAAAACGTTTTTATCAGTAGGTTTGTTATATTAAAATCTATAGGTCTGTATCGACTGGCGTATTAGTCAGAACTAACAATAATCAGAAACTCTGTGGTGCCGGAGTAACATGAAACTCAGGTGACAAAATATAGAAATATAACATCCGACCACCTGTCCCGTGTATAGAATCACTTTATTTTTATTCCCTATTAACCATTTAATAAAGTTAACAGTATTTAACTGTATCGAATATCTTAACCACTTTTGTTAAATTACCTGTGATATGAATACCTACATGATATTATAGTCATACGCAATTACATCAATAAAACAAACTTTTGGCGCCGCTAAAAATAATATTTATTAGTGCATAGACGCAAACTAAAAAAAAATTGAAATTCTATCATAACACAAACATATTACATAACATATGTAACAATGTAACATATATTTTAATTCAAACATATTTTAGATTGAGAGATTAATGTATTGATTTACCAATGATGTGTGTTTTTTTGTGCGTCTGAAATCATGCACCTTTTAGAGCTTAGTAAAATATAAAATTACGATTTTCAACTTTGAGAATGGTTTCCAGTGGAAAATTAGATTTAGTTGATAACATAAGGGATTCAAAAGTTTCCAGTGCTTTTCAAAATGATCGGAAAAAATTAAAATAAGTCAAGCGAATTTGCAAATTATGTTGTAGTTGAAAATGCATACAATTTTGAATTTTTTATATTCATATCTAAGGTTTTAAAATGAATACAAGGTTCCATATAAGTTTTTCTTACAAGAATTATAAAAAAAAGTTCAGTGCAATTCAACAAATATTTGATATTCTGAAATTTATATTTTTCGAAATTGGATATTCATGAGGCAAAATAACAATAATTTCTCAACAAATGATTTTAGATTTTTCGTTGTAATTCAAAAAATATTAATCGTAGAAACTTAAAACATTCCAATTAATAATCCTTAATTTATCGTGGCATTCTATTCTCTATCAAAATTTAGAAAAATATTTAGTCTCAATTAAGACTATTTATGGACATTTGAATAGTCATTAATATTTTTTATTTTTTAGGTGTTGATAAATAAGCTCAGTACAAATACTTGAAAATGTAATACAAGATCCCACATAAATTGTCCTTTTAGAAATATAGAAATATTTAAAATGAATGGGCACGATTGTTTTTTCATAAGTGTTTAAAGTTAAAATTTCGACAAAATTAGATATTTTAATGAAGAATAACGATTTTAGTTATTTTGTTGTAGGTAATTCAAAAATGTTGTCAGTGGGGACTTGAAAATGTTGCATACCGATATTGGTATATTGTATATACCTATTATACACAATAACGTTTTCAAAATATTTAGATTAATTTTAAACTATTGTCTATTATTTATACCTCGAATCTATTCACACTGTTTTACTGTAAATGGAAGTTTAAGTTTGACTTGACGTATAAGTACTAAATAAAATAAGTAAGCTGTTCGTGTTGTAAAATCACATTTGTTCTGAACACGACAAAATAAATGAAGAAAATATCAAATTAGTATTTTATTATTATTATGTCATCATCAACTGCGCTAAAAGTCATAAAAAAAAATAGGCTCTTAACATGAAGACAAAGGTCTTCTAAATAGTAAAAATGTAATAATGGTATATTAAAATTATGATTTAAAAACTTTTGTTATTTGAATCACTTCATGAAATTGGAACGCAATAATATAACTTTTATGCACGTATTGTGCATAGCTCCAAGACGGTACTGTACATTATTAGTGTAATTATTTTTAATATTAAGAGTACCTATACAGTGATAAACTACAGAGTAAACTTTAAATAAAAACTTTAATAGTAAACTTAAAAAATAATAGTCTATATTTGAAAAACAAGAGTCCGCGTGACGAATAAAATGAGGGAAAATAAGATTAAATTTGTAACTAATTTTGAAAAAATAAAATATGTTTATGGTCGGAGGATTTAACCCAGGGCCAGGTCATAAGGAGGAGTTCTTCTTGTTGAGGGGGGGGATCCGGTCAAATACATAAGGTTTAAATTCAGTTTTTGCATATTAATATAATTTTAAATTGATTATTATAAAATATAAATTTGTTTTTAGAAATATGTCTTAAGAGGATGTCATACCCACATGTGTCTCCGTCTTACAGATATGCAACATAGTAAATTTGCATTCATCAGTTCCAATTTCGTGTAACTAGCTTTAATAATAGAGCGAAGTGATCCATCATCAATCTTAATCTTAAATGTAAGAACATTATCTGTATTCTCATTTATCTTGTTGTATTTTCACAATATTTGAATTTTTAATCTAATTTTTAAGCATCTTAAAATATTAATATTTTACTTACTATCATAACTCGATTGCAAATTAATATATCGTAAAAGTCTAACAAGAGAACACAGATAATGTTCTAGCCTTATTGTCGCGCGTAAATTGTAAAACAAGATAAATCCATTTCTATAATAACTTCTTTGTCAAGAATCGGACTTATCTTATTGTTGCATCTGTTTTTCAACAACATTTTCCTTTATCGATTTCCGTAAAAAAGCGATATTCCAAAATAAGTGGATTTATCTGGTTGTTGCACCAAGCCCTCTTTAAATTTAATTATTATACAGGGTGTTGCACGGTAAATGTGTCAAAATTCTAGAGGGGTTTCTACACCTCAAATGGAACAAAAAAAGTCCTTGTGAGTTGTGACCATAATCGAATAATAAGGGCCACTTTCATCACTACTTTAAACTTTGATTAAAGTTAAACCGGGGTTTAAATGTTCCTATTTAAATATCTGTTATCAGTCGATTAAGCGTAATCGAAGTTTAAAGTTTTTGGTGAAAGCGGCCCTAAGGGTGATAATTTCCATATTAGTGTTTTTTTGTTAAACGGAAGTTTGATTCATAATGATGTTTATATGTGCTAAACCGTAGTTACCTACTACAATTAATTTGAATACATTGATGAAAAGCTCATAAAATTGGGATTAGGAAAATATATCTTACAAGGTTCCCACTTAATTTTTTGGGTAAAAAGAATAATACACATTTTTTATACCTTTAAAATTTTGAAATTTTTTAAAGCAGGTGGGTGCAAATTTCAAAAAAACTTCAAAATGTTATAAGCTTTTCAACAGTGTACTCGATTTTTTCGTTAAACCTTTCTGAAGGGCTGCTATTCCACCTAATGTGTGGAAAAAAAGAGAAAAACGTAAACAAATGCTAAGCAATAAATACAAAACCTGGTAAACTGATTTTTGTAAAATGTCGACATTTCAAAGTTATAAAAAATGTGTGATATTCTTTTTACCCAAAAAATCTGTTTGGAACCTTAGATATGTTTTCCTAATCCCAATTTCAATGTATTCAAATTAATTGTAGTACCTACGGTTTAGCAGATATGAACATTATTATGAATCAAACTTGCATTTAACAAAAAAACACAAACATGGAAATTATCACCCTTATTATTATATTATATTGATAGTTCGATTATGGTCACAAGGACTTTTTTTGCTCCATTTGAGGTGTAGAAACACCTCTGGAAGTTTGGCACATTTATCGTGCAACACCCTGTATAATAATATCAATGTTATCAGGAACAGTTTAGTTATAGAAAATTGAACTTTAGATAAATAAGAACATTTTTTATAAGTTACAAGGGTATACTGCTCCCTTTGCGCCCCACGAATATACCGCTGGTTATGATTTGGGTTAGGCATGCAATGTAGACATTTATATCTTTATATTTAATTTTAATCTTCACCTGAAAATTTAATGTCGGCGACAAGTCTATAACACATTTATATGTGTTAATTTTCATAATATTTCAATGTCATTCTATAAATGTGGCTTTATTGGAAATTGATGGTGGCCATTGTGGATAAACATAAAATACAAATTGCATAGTCGTTTTTAGGCTGCGTTTTCCCAATATTAATTATATCGTTTACATACGAGTAGGTACCTATATTATATTTATATATTATATGGACGTCAATTTGTATAATACATTATAAGTTACATTATTATTTATTTGTTATTTTAAATATTTTTCAATGTGATTATATTAATTATAAAACTCTATTTATATGGTGCCACTGACACGCCAGTACGCCACTGTATAGTATAGTATGACGCGCTTACCGTGCAGCAACCGGTACACTTGAACAGGGACCGCTTCTGCGAGTCGGCTGACTTGCTCTTCGAGGTCGCAGACTTGCCACGGCAACAGCAGCAGATCCGCTTGACGAACTTGGGAACGGCACACCAGCCGCAACACCAACCGCAGCAGCAGCAGCATCGACGCGACCGCCTTTTCAACTTGCCGCAAAACGTGTCGGCGGCCATGGTCGGCGGAGCGATTCCGAGCGCACCGACCGAATGGTCGGATGACGACGCTACCGTAGCGAGTTTCTTCTTGTTCGTCACGGTCCGCTTGCCGCTGCAACAGCACAACTTATTGCTGCACCGCCGCCACCATTTCAGACGTCGTCGGCCGCCGGACGCAGCCTCTGCAGTGGAGGCCATCACGGAGGCCGATCGTTTTCGGCCACAACACTGGCCGCACGGCCGCGGCCGCCTTTTCCACACCGCCGCCCAGCACTTTGACGCACGGCCACCGGTGGCGGCGGGCGGAGATACTTGGCCAACGGTTGGTCTACGTCCACCACGGCCGCCGTCGTCACCCCCACCGCATAGCTTCCGCGCATATCTTTTGTAGGCCGGATCTTTGGTGGCCGGTTCGGCCGACCGCGGGACATCCGCCGGCCCGATGATCTTTTCAGATGGTCTATAGCGGAAAAACGAGGCAAAGTCATTAAATATAAACGTAAACCGTAACAGTCAGTTTATTAAGAAAATATTTTATATTCACGACCATAAAAATATAAATTATGCTAAATTTATTACTTTTGTGTTTTTTTTTTCATACGGAAAAAATCGTCCATTATTTATATATTATGTACTAGGTACTAAAATACCTATTGGCTGATTCATGCCACACGAGCTATTTTAAATCGTTTTTTTTTTGTTTTTTTAATCCATAGCGATTGGTAAACGCCCGTCATATAATGGCCTACCGATCTAATATACTAATATATTATCCATAGCATGATTTTATATATATATTATAGTATTACGAGCGGCCTTACGGCTATTACCGACCCCCCAACATCACGCAAAGTTTTACTCACTTTCATTTGGAAACGGGTGATATGAACTATAAATATAGTTATAGTATATGGATAGGTACGCAAAGTAAACGTCAATTTGCTAATGGACCGCAAATAAAATCGGCCACCTCCCTCAAATGTTGTTAAAATATTATACGTATAGAGATACGATTATAAGAATAGGATAGAATTTAGGAGTTCATGATGGTTGTGCTTACATATATGCCAAAGTCAAAGAGTCAATAACAATATAAGATCGTCAGTCTAAGAAAATCCTTTATGTAGAATAAATAAAAATACAACGTCGTCTCGGGGAGGAATATATTGTAGGTACAGACATTTATAATACACATAGGTAATGAATATTACTTAATTAATTTACTTAATTTTATTTATTAATAAATATTGTTTTTTTTTAAAGTTATATGATATAAATTATAAATTATAAATTATAATTTTAATACCTACGTACATCAAAATTACAAACTTACTGGCAGCAACCTATAGTGCCTAAAAAAAAGCATAAGTAATGAGATTATAATATTTGTACCTACATTTTTTTTAAAACATTGAAACCATCACTTTAAGTTACGACATCTCGAACTTTTATTTCACAAAATTGTGAAAATTGTTTCTTTTTGTACAAAATAAATTTATTGAGTTCAGGACTAGCATATATATTATATATGCATGAATGCATGATACAACGCATTATATATAATGTATATAATATAATGGTTGTATGGTTTTAAACAGCATTAAGCTTAAAAAGTGTTTTTAATAAAGCGTGACCAGATTTTATCTACTGTAGCCTGTACAGAGGCGTTCTCAGGATATTTCAATGGAGGGGGATGAAAAAAATGGTTTCAAAATAAGCCGTACCTAAGGGTTTTGCCTCACAACTCCCATATTATAATAATGAATATTAAAAAAGCGGGTAAGTGGATGTCGCTCTGCTGTACAGTAGATTACAATAGTTGGTCACTGTTTAATGGATTGTATTAAATTTGAATTCAATGATATCATATCATTGTATACGAAAAACGATTCTGAGCGGAGACGGTTTGTCAGTCTGGATATTTTATATTGTAATTATATTTTATTATAGCCTGTAAGTTGAATTAATATTTAATATTATAAATTACGATAAAATAACTAAAATCATTATTTTAATTTTATTTGTTACAATGGTGATAAACAAAGTGTTAGAAATTGAAATCACATTTTTAGCGGTTTTTGAAATTTGTCGGTGAAATTGTAATGTGTCATTAAATAAATATTGAGAAAATTGAAAAATTACCTCTCTAAAGTACCATCTTGATAGAATTTTCTAAAAGAAAAGATATACTATATGTTAAAAGCGAAGAACTGCTTCTGGTAGAAATTTTGTATGCAGGATAAAATAAAAATAAATATAAACAATATTGAAAAACCAATAGATCCCTCACTCCGCTCAGAATCTAATAATATTGATAGTAATATAGTTGATAATATCAAATAATCAATTCAAGTCATATTTATTGTTCTTTTTATTTAAACTATAAAAGAATATTATGAATCAGTTTAAATCAGGAATGGAAAATGTTTTTAATTTTTTCGTTTTTGTTTTTGATTAACGTTTTTAAAAACGTTATTTTTCTATATTGTTTTTTTTTATAGTAGTAAATTTAGCAATTTAGAAATGCACTTAAGAGTTAAAAATAAAAATTAATTATTCTTGATTTCAAATAAAAATGTTTTTAAATTTTAATAGAGCATTGTTGGTAAAGATTAAAAAGTAAATACTTAAGTAACATTTTTTTTTCGTGTTATAAATATAATAATGTATAATACTATAATTTATTAGTGTTTTCGTTTTCGATTTCGTAATTAATTTTTTTTCTGTTTTTGTGATTTTTTGTTTTTGTTTTATTCATTGTTTTCGTTTTTTTTCCGTTTACTAACGTTTTTTAAAAACGTTTTCCATCCCTGGTTTAAATTATTTATTTTATTTTATCACTGTGGTGTTATCATTGTGTATCTTACCTTTACATTTTTTCTGACGCTGGGAATTTATAAAGTTGACGGAGTGATTGTTTACAAAAATACAGTACAAATCAATTGTAAAGCGAATTGCCTGTTACATGTTATAATTATCAGTGATAAATAATAATATTGTTTATGGCTGGTGGAATCAATAATCACGATAAAGAAAAATTGCAAAAAAAAAATAAAATAATAACTACCAAGTCAATATTGAAAACACAAACACATATCAAAAGTAGACAAAACGTGTATTACTAATATGTAAAAAATAAAGAACCTTGGGGGGGGATCTATCCCCCATATCCCCCCCCGTGAGAACGCCCATGAGCCTGTAGGTATGCAATGAATTATAGAAAAATAACTGAACTGAAACATATTTCGCAGTCCAAAAATAAAAATACAAGTTGTGGACACATTTTTATAATAAAAATGCAAAAGAAAACTTATTTTAAACAGCAGTTTTGAAATATTATGTAAATGTTACGTTTCCACGTTAGATACATAGTACACCAAGCACATGATAAGTTTAACCACCTACACATAGGGTCAATATTATAATTTCTAGAGTTGGTAGGTACCACGGACAAACAAACACTAATACAATAATTATTATATTGGTATTGTGGTTTCGTTAATATTTAAAATCAGTAAAAAACGCAGCACGATTTGATGAGCACTGTATAATTTATTCAAAGAGCCTAGTCGTAAAGAATTTACGAAGAGTATTCTCAACTCTTGAATCTATGCAACTGCAGCGTATGAGTAAAACGTAAGCCCCATCAGCTCCCAGTTCCCACTTATATTTGTGAAAATATAATGTAGGCATGTCCTAAATTATGTTTCGTATTCGACGGTTGTCGTAGGAGCATGACTATTGTTAATTTTGACCTTTTTTGTAAGACATAGATGCTTATCGTTCGAGTTTTGGGTTGTACATAATTTGAGCATCGACCGTTTAAAAGGTTGATCATTTGAGTACCAATATTAATTAACAAGAGAATACTGAAAAAAGGTGTCTACCAAAAATCGCAAGTTGTTTTCTAAATGTTTAGTGGTATACTGGTATCTATCATTTACAAAGGGCTCCTCAACGTCAAAACTAGACTACCTATAAATTAAATGAAACTTTTTACTAATAAAAAATTTTTTTTAATTTTTGAGATTTTGAAGAATTTTGAAGAATTTTGTCAAAATCTGAACTGTAAATGCTTATTCAACAAAAACTTATTGCTATATATCTTTATTATTTTTAAATTTAAAAATCTTATATTATTCATTATCTATATAATATTTATATAATTACCTATATGACTATAATATTCAATTGAATTAATGCGATTTATTTTTAATTGTTTGTATCTATTTATTACAGAATATAATATATGACAATCATTTCCGAGAACAAAAATTATTTTTTATACCAAACTATTGTTCAAAATGTTGATGAGCATATTATGATGAATATGATGTACGATAATATTATTTGGTGCAGGTAAATAGACAATGAGTAAACGATAATCGGCCACTAATGCGCAAAACGATGTACGATATTTTGGCACAGGTAATTTTAAACAGACAATGCGCAAATTATATTATACGGCATTCATATTATATATTTTAACAAATATACACAATAAACACATATTATACATATTATATATTATACAATATACATGTTGATTCATCAATATTTTACCCTATTTTTCCTTTAATAACAAATTTATTCGAATTCAATTTATATGAAATTTTTAATTATACCAACATAAGGAAAGTATTTTCAAATACTTTGATTTTTTATACCAATTACCTGTAGTTACATCTACTAACTTCTTTTTATCAAATTAAAGTCTCCTATTAGTTTCCTGGATTTTTTGAAAATATTAAAGTACTAAATGAAAATTCAAAGGAATAATTTTTGAGCTACTTGACTTTGTGTATCTTTTAAGGATAAAAGATCCGTGGCATTGGGTATAGAAGACATAGCAGCTGTGATGATTTGAAAATTATAGTAACTATAATATTAATCTATAGGTATCAACATTTTATAATTTGTAAAAATTTTCTACGTAACTGAGTATGATACTAGATTGAGACTAGATCCAATATTATACCTATTTTATGTAGTTGCAAACCCATTTTTAAAGACTTTTATCTCATGGGCTAAGTAAATACATTTTAACTCAAAATCTACTCTTTAAAATCTCAATTTATAAAAAGCGACATTTTCAAAAAAATCTTCTGCTTAACAGTATTTATTTACATTAAAAAAAGGTTGATAATATTCTCATTTGAGGAAAAGAAATTTGTCTAGGACACAATTTAAATGGTCAAAAATCTATAAATAATTTAAAATATGGTCCTTCACTATACTTACTTAAAATTTCTAACAGAAACCCATGATTCCTAATCAGAATTTGAATAAATGCATTATTAAAGTAAAAACGAGAGAGACCACTGAATGCTTGATGATTGGTGAATCGTTAATCATCATGTATATTATATTATATATATATATATATATGTACAGTGAAATTTTCGTACAACGAAGTCTCAAGGAGAAAAAAATTGGTAATACAGAGGAATTTGTTAAATAGAATTTGCTCATGATTAGCAATGAAGGTCATGGTTCTCAAAAGTAATTCGTTAAACAGAAAATGTCGTTTAATGGAAGTTCGACGTTTGTAATATGGAAGTTTCACTGTACAATATGTAATATGTATATACTATAGGTAGGTACTATATGAAGTAAAATCATCGTTATTTTATATACACCCTCTAGTTGTAATTTTATATCTATTTACGTGTTCGTACTTTTGATAACACATAATTATACCTTAGTAACGATAGTATAGGTATCCCCCATTAACACACATTAACAACTATAACCGACCGCCTACCGCAACTACTATAATATACTACCTAATAATTTGTTGACTTATTATGACCGTCTGGTATACATCTGTGTAATATCATTGATTGTCTGTGGATAAAATCACATTTCTATACATTTTGTGTTGTTTAAATTTTAATCAATGGATAAATTAGAAATGTACATGCACCTAATTAGATTTATATTTTACATGTACATATCATGCTCGTGTGATGTTATTAAATTATTGGGTTATGAATATAATTTTTTTTCTCAATTATGCGATTGTAAGAAAAAATGTTCTTAGGACATTTGCACCTTTATTCCTGATTCAAGAAGGGTTATTATGTTATGCTTGTGATGGTCTAGTGCCGATTAAATTCGCTGATATAATATTCACGTCGCGTGCTTGGAATTCAATTGTATCGCGTGAATGCGAAGACGGGTAAATTGCTCGATTCAAACACATAAGTACACAACATAACTATATAGTATAAACATTATAAATATATATGTATCAAAGTTGTTGATGCCTGTAAAGAAAATTGTTCACATTTCATATCAATTTTCACTTCACAATAGACGTTGACAAAGTGGTAAACATACAATTCTATGGTCGAATTCATTTTAGAAGTTGAATACTTCTAAACTTTGCTAAACAATTTACAGTTTTGAAGCCAATGTGAAAAATATTCTATAAAATATAGAAGGTATTAGGGTAGGTACCCTAACTTGACGTTGTATGCCAGTGTTAAGTTTTAAAGATGAGATTAAAAAAATGTATTTCAAAGTAATGAATTACACCAAAGTTATACCAATATTTTGAAAATAATTAACAACTTAAGGAAACCGGTATAAAAAAATGTGCAACCTTATATTTTTACCTCAATCCCCAAACCAAAATTGGTGGAGCCAAATTCACGCAGCCCCACTATATCGTCGGATTAACCTCAAACATCATTTAGCAACTAATTTGCAACTTTAGGCAACCTTCGTACAAATATTTGCAACCCCGTAGTTACGCCCGAATCAAATTTCTAAGTTGGACGTTTGTGAAGTTGTCACCCCCCCCCCCCCCCCCCTTTGGGCTAAACATATTTGAATAAATTAAATCTAGATTGAATAAAAAAATCATAGTTTAATAAATGAAATCTAAATCAGATAAAAAAGTCTATTTTAATAAAAAAATCTAAATAGAATAATAATATCGTAATTGAAATAAAAAGTCTAGTTGAATAAATATAATCTATTTATAAATGTAATTAATAAAAAGTTAAACATTTTATAAATTTTTTTATTATTATTATTTTTATTAATTGTATTTATTAATCATTAACAACTTAAAAATATTTTATAATAAAAAAAATAAAAAAAAATTCCCGTGGTAGTGAATGGTACTATCATCGGGAAATTGGATGTTCAGGAGAATGGGTAAAGTTACACATTTCATAATGGGCGTTGCAAAATATTGGCACTGGTTTGAAGTCGATAGCCCAAAGTAGGGGTGACAACTTCACGAACGTCTAACTTAGGAATTTGATTCTGACGTAACCCCGGGGTTGCAAATATTTTCACGACGGTTGCTAAAGTTACAAATTAGTTTCTAAATTATGAAAAAGGTTCGAGGTTGATCCGACGATGGGATGGGGCCGAGTGAATTTGGCTCCACCAATTTTGGTTTAAGGCAAAAATATAAGGTTGCAAATTTTTTTATACCGGTTGCCTAAAGTCGCAAATTAATTGCAAAGTATTGGTATAACTTTGGTGTGATTATCATAACATGGTGGGGTCAACTTCATGCACGTTATATAGTATATGCAGTATTGGGTAAATTTCTTTTAAAAAGTAATGAAATTACGTTACTCGTTACTTCAAATATTTTTATTTAAATTAAATTTGCGTTACCTAAAATTATTTTTATCACGTTAAATTACTTTTCATTAATAAAGTAGTGCGTTACAAATAACGTTACTTTTTTTTTATCATTTTTTTTTTTTAACCATAATTAATTGAATTTTAATTTTTCTGGTATATCCTATCGCGTTATTTTTTTTATACATTCAAAACTATTATTTTAATAACCTGAAAATAACGCGTTAGTGCGTTACTTCATAGAAATTACTTTTCAAAATTAGTTTTATGACAATTGCATTACTTTAAGTAAAATGTAATGAAATTACTGCTGCGTTACAGTAATTTGCTTTACTTTACTAACCTATAACTATAACTTATATAGGGCATTAATAATAAAAATAATTTTAGAGTCGAAATATTGTTTCCATTATTATAAGACGTCAAAGAAATATTTATCTATTTACTAGTTAGTATAATAATGTATCGCATTAGTTATTTTTTTATAATCATGGAACTTACCATTAAATAGCATATATTAACTGTTGTATCCTTATTATTTAGGGCGTTATATATAACATCCTTATACGGAGAAATAAGTAAATAATAACTAGTTATACAAATCTATATAGTATTAGGTACAACAACTTTTTAAGTGTTTTAAAATGTATTATGCGTACCTATAAGTATATCACTACAATCGGTCAAAATTTGAAATACCTACCTCGAATTCGTCTTAGATATTACAGACAAATAATTAATATTTTCAAACCAGAAGTTAAGGTAAATATCAAAAGTCACAAGCATAAAAGAAAGCTAATTTACCTAAGCCAAACTACCGATTACTGAAGCACCAATTAAAATAATGTCAATATAGCATTGTTATACACTTACGCACAATAATATACAATTTACATGATAATAAATTGAAGAAAAATATGGATAGGTACTATAAACTGGATAACATAAACATAATAATATCCGATGTCCAGCTCGACATTTTCTCAAATGGTTTTAAATTTAGTTGTAGAAAATAAAATATAGATTGTACCTATACATGTACATAAAAAAAATTGTTTTTTTCTCAAAATTTGCTCATCTTCATATAAATAAGAAACCAGAAAGTAAATATACGTATAACACTATATAATATACCTAACTATAATAAGAAATATAAGTAGGTACCTATTATATAAGTAACTATCAATGATATTGAAATATTTTAAAAATTGCCAACAAAAATTACTTGACCCAGACATATTATATATTTATATGACATATGTATACCTATATATATATATATATATATATATATATTTATACCTAATTATATCTACATTCTACCTACATAAATATTACAGTATAAATGTATTCTAAAAATGTCCAAAAATAAAGATAGGTACCTACCTTTATAAATAATTTTTTTTTTTAAATTTCAACCATTATGTTTGGGTATAAAGTATAAGATTCTTAATTTTAGACAAATACGGTTTTGACTAAATATTTAAAAAAAATTAAAACGTTTCTAAGTGTTTTTGTATTTATCTTTTTTTTTGAAGGGGCCCGAGCTACGATTTGGACATAGGTTGCAGCTATAGGCCCTGATTTACTATTGTGTGTACCTATAAGGGCCCCAATTTTTTTGGACTCTTTTACTACTCTATATATTTATATTTTATATATATAAAATTACTATAGTCAATGCCAATATGGCACGAATATTGTAGTACCGAGTGAGTGTTCATTTTTTGCACTTAAACAAAAAAAAACTCGCGTGCGCTCTTCTTTAACTCAAGAAATAGGTACTGGACTTTTTGTCATGAATGGCAATCAATCATGATGTTACAAAACAATTAGCGTTTGAAAGAGTTTGAAATTGCTGAATTTTTTTTTAACCAAGAACAAAATGCGCATTACAATTAACTGAAACCATCGCTGCGATTTATGTACTAACTATTTGTTAGTCAGCAATCTTAAGTAAATTATATTTTTTCTTTTTAATTATTGCTTATGTTTTTAGTTGAATAGGGCCCCAAAGTAAATATACCACAGGACCTTTTTAAATCAGGCTCTGGCTGCAGCTACAATATAATATATAGTAGCTAGTATAACATACTCGTAGCCCGTAGGTATAACACCTTAAGGCTTAAGGTACCTATGTCATATAGGTATTATCATAATACGTCGTGTCATAAATTACTCATGACTCATATAATTTTAATCATATAGTTGTCGGTTCTGAGGAGTGACACACGCGTTAAGTCGCACCTGACATTCGGGTAGCCGATGGAATAGACGTCGAATCTCTCGGCGTCCGGACTGGGTCGTCCGCCGCCCATCATCGCGTACCGCACGAGACGGACGTATTTCCGCTGCTCATCCACAACTGTGTAGGTATATATATTACCTATTCAATATATATTGTGTAGAACACACACGCACACACGCGAAACGGAGAACGATCGTTTAGCCTTCACATGCACGCCCACGCAAAAGCGAATATATGCTACTTGACCCGAAAAAAAAAGTTCACCGCCCGACCAAGCGCGTGTATAATGGCCGGTATTGTTTTATTACTGCCGTTGGTTTTTTCGAGGTGGTCAACTCCGGCGATTATTTATGATTTTTTTTTCGCTCAAGAACATGGGTGGGGGGTCGTGGCGGTTGCTGCTGCCGGTGGCGCTGGAAGTGCAGATATTGATAAATTATATCAAGGTAAGGGTGAAGGAATATATATAATAATATATACCGGCTATAGTTGTATATGCGGGGATGGGGTGCGGTGTGCACAGGAAGAAAGACTTTCGGGGTGTATATAGTACTTAAAGTCGGTAGTGACGTGCAGGGGTTGAGAACAAACACACACACACACACACACACACACACTTGGGGCCTGGGGGGCACTTGTGCCTTGCGGTCACGCCAGCACGGAAAGAAACTGCATCGCATGTTCGCGCGGCCTTAAGCACGAGATACCCGCCAGCCGCCGCCTAAGTATATACACATACCGTTTCCTTCGGCTGTGTCGGAGTGACCCAATTACTTATGTTGTGTGTGTGTACCTATATAATATTCACTCGGTGGTGGCGTGACTCGGTACAATGTAAGACCGTCGCGCGGACACGGCCACACCATTATATGGAACGTGCGAGTGAACCGTTTTTTCATTCTTTTTCGACACCCCGAGTCCTACCCGTCCGCCGCCTCCACCGTCTCCACTATACCAAAAACAAGTATAGAGACATTATAACTATATGTATATTCGAGTACAATATTATAGTACTATAGCTGAATTGAATGACCCGGCTTAGCTCATCGAAAAATAAAAATAATAAAAAACCTGATATTATGTTAAAATGTCTCGCCTCGACGTTGAAATATACGTGCACCCTCCACTGGTCTGGTCAAACACTGAAAATGAAGGCACCACGGGGACATCGGAGCGGTATTCGGAGCAACTTCGTTAAAAATAACTCGTAAAAAAGTTCAATAGTGTCGTCAGAAACGTGGTACATAAAAAATGCCAATTATCTTATATATATGTACACAGATAAAAGAATTATAATCGCAGTATGCAGGTATGCTCCTCGCTCAATGCTGTACCTATATGTACACAACCGTCATGGTTTATCATACGTTATTGTTTTACACATACACATACACACATATATACATATAGTGATGTATTGTCGTCATATTATAAAGTATATAAACATTGGACTACGCCGCTTATTGGATTCATGCAATCACGCAAGGTTGACTCATTCGCCTATTAGACTCAAACAGACTGGTCCAGTTATATAGTTCTATACATTTACGAGTATATGCGTAGAAACACATACACAAACAAAATCATCTAGTGGACTCTATATTTTATACATACATATATATATATAAGCTGGTTAACCGGGTCAATGTGCATTTTTAAGGGCATATTTTCAAATCGTATCTATTTTATCGGACATATTTTGATTCACCACATAGAAAAGTATAAAAATTGTTTAAAATATTTTTTCACATAATTTGAAAGTTTTACAAAATAACGTTATAGAAAAAAAGTGTATATTTTTACTATTTTTTTATCGTAATCGATTGTTGTGTTTTTATTATCTTTATGAATGACATAACATACATATTATGAAATATACATAAATAAATAAATAACATAATAATTAATATTTAAATGTACACATAGGCAAATTTTAATTTTTTATTACAATGCAGTATATAATATTCCAAGCATACTTGGACATTTGCAAGCCTTATTGACTTATTTTTTTTATATTATAGTCACAAATTTTCTGGTCCCAAAGTGATTCCAATAAGCGGCGTCTACTGTGATAGCAGCAGTGTTTAATGTGTTAAAAAGAGGTTACCGACAAAACATATCCTGTGCTCTATTTTTTGTGTTTTCTGTCTGGAGTTACAACTTCGGCTACAGGCGAAAATTTCTACGGGGCTGTTTTAAAAACACTGAAATAGATGCAGTACAGGCATACAGCCAGAAAACACAAATGCGTACGAGTTAAGAAAAACTTCAATTACAATGAAATTCAAGTAGATACCTATCGGTGGAGACAATTGTATTCGTCGAAAAGTGAACATGAATATTATGCAAATACCGCACTGATTGGCATCTGTTTTTGCAAACGAACGATACATCGATGCAAGTGGCTAAATCAGAGCGTCGGACAGCCAGACAGACGGGCACGAGACACGGAGGTCATATTATATAATATTAATAATACATAATTCGGCATATAAAAGTACCGCGGCAAGATCCTTATGCAAAAAATTTGTCTGTACGTGTATATAGATTTATTGTTTACCTCGCCCATGCGACAGTCTTGTGACCGTTGCTGCTGCTGGCCGTGGACGAACTTTTGTTGCCATCAGCGTCCACGGACAAGCGGACGGGCGTTCGTCCGCTCTGGTTTTCGATTTCCGGTTCCACAATGATCTCTTGTAGCTCGTATGACAGCGGTGGAGTGGTCGTCATAGTGACGGCAACGGACTGTCGCGTGGTGGCCGCTTCCGTCGGTGGACCACCGTCCACGACGACGACGGTGGCCGCTGGCTGTGACGGAGAGGCAGTGGTTGGTGGATCGCGAGATCTCATCGCGCTCAGGGGTGGTTTTAAAGTCGTGGACGACGGGTCTATGACGGACAAAGTGGCCAGCGTGTTTGCGGCAATGGCCGCCGGAGGAGGCACAGCCGTGACAATCGGACCACCATCGACGACGGGTGAAGCGACAGCGTTGGTCGCGTGCGTGGTCGCTATGGCCGTGGCCGAGGTAGACGCCGTAATCGGAATGACGGACTGTGCCGTCGTAGTTATGGTGGACGCGGCTAAGGTCGGTGTCCCGGTCGACGGCAAAGAATCGAACGCTGCCGACGCCGATGCCGTAGACGTGGTCGCAGTGGTTATCGTGGTCGTCACTGTGGCAGTGGCGGCCACCGTATTTACACCATTGTCGGGTGGTGGGCGAGCGACGTCTTTCGGTGGAGCTTCCGCCTTAGACGATGCCATGGCCGTGGCCGTCGATTGTTTCTTGGGCAAACGAGGCGACAATCTGCCCGGCGGACGGATGACAGTCGGTTTTGCGGCGACAGTCGGTTTGGAGCCTGCCGCTGTGTTGGTCGACGGTTGTGACCGCCTCGGCGTTTTGGGCGACCTAGACGGCAACGGTGACTTGGGTGGCACTGGTTTGCGTGGCGTGGGAGGTAATTTCTTACGCGGCGACGACTTGACGGCTGCCGCGCTGCTGGCCGTCGGAACGGTCGGTGGCTTTCCCGTCGTCACCGGCGTTTTCCGGCTCCCCGTAGCACCACTTGCAGCCGACGGTTGTTTAGTGGACGAACCAGACGTCCGCTTGCCGCTCGCCGTCAGGTCTTTGGTGGACGCCGATAGCCGTTTGTTGTCGGCCGTGATTGCTGTTGGACGACGACTATCGTCCACAATCCGCGATTCTGATGACTGACGCCTCAGCCGTCCGGAAGTCGACGGACTGGACGCACGAGACCGTCCGTTTTCGGGTGTTTTGAAACCATAGCCACGGAACGGGCTAACTCGACCGCTGACACCTGTACCGTTAACCGGTTGCGCCTTTGCGGCGGCAGCGGCAGTGGATGACGTGGTCGCCGTAGCTACGGAAGACGCCACCGGCGGTTCGGGCAGCACGACGAACGCACCGCGGTCTTTACGGCGTGCTCTCAACTTGTACGCTTCGGCGGTGGCCATCGGAAGAACGGGTGGCGGCGTCGGCGGCCGGCCGGTCGGGCACCTTGGAGATGTGGTCCGTGGCTGCGTGGGCCGGCGGCGGTGGCTTCCACGGCGACTGCGGCCACCGTAGCCGTCGTCGTCGTCGTCGCCGTCGGACGAGATCACGACGAATGCTTCGCCGCCGTCGCCCAGGGCCGTCAGACATCCGGTGGCGTTCATCTCACGACGACCGCGGTTGCGGTAGTAGTCACAACGTTCGTCATCCCAGGAATCCGTTACGCTATTGCAATGTGTTTACGGCGGGCTCGCGATTATTAGTAATAATATTTTAGGACTCGTTCACACGACTCGCGCGCTCACTAACGCACACACGTAATATTGCACACACAAACCTATGTTGTCCACGGGGGTGTACTCACGCACACTGAACTCGCGTTGGTGCTGACCAACGGCGGCGACGGTGGCGGAAAGTCGTAAACCTGACGCCGCCGTCCGTGTGGGCGGAGGGAACGATATCGTAACGAAACGCACAAACATTGAGTCCTGTCGCGCCGCCGTCAGGTTTCTCCCGCGCACAATTCGCCGCCGTCACCGCACGAGTTGTCCAAGGAATATGCTGCTGCAGCAGTTGTATTATACATAATATTATAAAATAAAGGTACGTACCTATTTATATATATAAATATAATACATCATATACAATACAATAATAATTAGGTATGGTTTTTTGGATTTTGGTCAAACCTTAAAATATGTTATGGTCGAAGTTGCTAAAACAATCTGAGGAGCCTACCAATGTTAAATCCTGGTACAAGGCCGGCGCTATCAAAAATTAATGGTGGGGGAGGGTGTGATTAAAAATATGCTGACTCATAATGCAAATAAAGCAAGTAAGTGGGTGTCGCTCTGCTATATATAGTAGGTTACAAGTGAGTAACTGTAACGGGTGGTGTTAAATTTGAATTCAATGATATAATATTATTATCATTGCGTATACGAATAATGATTGTGACTGAGGATATTTTACCTATATTATATTTACAATTTATATTGTTATTAATACAGTAGCCAGTAAGTTGAATTAATATTATATGTATATAGGGTTCTAAAATATCACGAAATTTATTTTTTTGACATATTTCATGGAACTTAAAAGAAACATTTCATTTTAAAGAAAAATAAAATATAAAATATACAATTTTAATTTAAACTTTAGTAGGAAGTGCAGACGAAATCACTTTTATACAAAAAAACATAACATTTAAAACATTTATTTTTCAATATTTCAAGAAGGGTAAAAGTTTCAAGATTGAAATACTTTAAAAAGAAAATGTCATATGAAATATGTTCATGAATGTCAAGCACCCACGGACCTATAAATAATATTTTTAAATTATAACACAAAAGTAAAATCGTTCTTCTTCATTTAAATATCTAATTTCGTCCAAACTTAAACTACAAATAGCTATTAACAAAAACTGTGTTTATATAACTTTTATATTTTTTGGTTACAGTATGAACTATACTTAAGTGGAACTTTATTTTATATTTTTAATCCTTAGCTATAAAAATCAAAAACGTCATACATTTTAACTATACAAAATAACTTGTACATTTTCAACAGTGGCGTATTTAGGAATTTGTCATGGGGAGGGTCCAGATAATTTTCAGAACACAGAGCCACGGGGGACGAAGCCATTTACTCTTTATTAAATAAAATATACCATATTTATAAGGTGATATAAAATTGTCAAGTTTTTAATTATTAAATAATAATATGTACAAAACAAATTTTAAAAAAAGCGGGTGAGTGGATGTCACTCTGCTGCTGTACAGTAGGTTACAAGTGGGTCAATATTTAATGGATTGTATTAAACTTGAACTCACTGATATAATATCATAATATCATTATATAAGAAAAACGATTCTGAGCGAAGACGGTTTGTCAGTCTGGATATTTTATATTGTTATTATTTATTATAGCCTGTAAGTTGAATTAATAATGAAATACTTTTATTTTTTATTTTTTTCTATGGTGATAGACAAAGTGTTAGAAATCAAAATCCCATTTTTAGCGGTTTTTCGTAATTTTTTGGTGGTTTTAACAGTGGCGTTAAATAACTATTGAGAAAATCGAAAAATGACCTCTCTAAAGTACTATCTTGATCCAATTTTCTAAAAGGTAAGTTACTATATGTCTATACATGTTGAAATCGAAGCACTCCTTCTGGAAAAAATTTTGTATACAGGAAAAAAAAAATAAACACCATTGTAGAACCAATAGATCCCTCAGAATCAAATATATAGGTAGTTATATGTTATAACTTTTATACAAATATTTCCTTAATTACATTAGGTACCTACCTACTTCATTCATAGTTGATCTTAGATGGCTTTTCAACCTTAAAAAGTTTGAAAAAGATCTCTCTGGAGTGGTTGTAGATACCGGCAATGTACAAAACTACAAAATATTTGAATTAAAAAATGAATTTGGTATTTTTCAACCATTTTCGGTACCCAACTGATAAAAATAATCACGATATTTATTGAAAATGTTGATATAACTATAGCTTCGAAAATTTTTTATACAATCCGTAAAATCGTATGATAAAATTTGTTTTTTAATCATGTAAAAACTGCACAACATTTAACATGTACGAGACACGAGTCAATGGGAGGGGTCCAGACCCCATGGACCCCCCCCCGTAAATACGCCACTGATTTTCAATATGATAAATGTTGTAGAAATATGAACTTTAAATGCTTATAAAATAAAATCTTGCTTATGTATTTTTAATATTTGTATACTAATATTATAATAATGTGTGGGGATAGCCTAGTTTAAAATTGTCCAGCTTTTCGACCTAACGAATAACGAATGACCCAATTTTAATGATATTGAAAGAAAACAAAAGGTGGGTAAGTACATGTCACTCTGCTGTACAGTAGGTTACATGTGGGTCACTGTATAATAATGGATGGTATTAAATTTAAATTCGGAAAACGATTCTGAGTGGTAATGGTTTGTCAGTATGGACAGTGGATATTTTATATTTTATTTATACTGTTATTACTTAATATTAATGCGGTAGCCGGTAAGTTGAATTAATATTATAAAAGTACAATAAAATAACTAAAATCGTTATTCTTGGTTATGTAATATGTAATTTACTCCAAATTTGAACATAAAAAACTACAACTGTTTATCACCATAGAAACGAATAAAGAATAATAATATTATTATAATATTAATTCAACTTACAGGCTATAATAAATAATAATAATATAAAATATCCAGACTGACAAACCGTCTCCGCTCAGAATCGTTTTACTTATACGATGATACCTACCTATTAAGGCTATTATATCATTGAATTAAATTTTAATACAATCCATTAAACATTGACCTACTTGTAACCTACTGTACATCAGAGCGACATCCACTTACCGCTTTTGTTAATTTCTACTAACAATAACTTACTACTCACAAGTAACCTTGTATTCCGTTTTCAAGTTTTTTGACCGAGAAAAAATTTCATATGCCTATAAATAGCTCAACGTGAGACGAAATATTTTTAAAATTTTACGTTGTATAGAAAATGCTTATATAGAAAATAAAATTCAAAATGCTCAACCACGGGAGCACGGAGCATGCTGACCGAACCCGGCCCAAGCATTGTGTAATAAAATTCCCTGTACGCCGAATGCCGATTTATATTCCTTAATGACATATTCAGCTTTGGGGGGGGGGTGTAACCCCTCTATCACCGGCCCTCTCCTTAAGTATATTATAATTTATAGTATATGTAATGCACAGTTCTTAAATTATTCTTATTTATATATTTTTCATTTAGTACCCACGGCTAGATGGGTAAAAGCATAACTATGTAGGTATGGGTTTTTACATTTTTTTTTAGTAAAAGTACAATGACTAAGTAACTATAGCTAAGCAATTATATTTGTATGTACGTGTATTGTGCAATGTGCATGACGTACCATATGTATTATTTTAATTTAAAATTACAAATGTTTGAATGAGGGATGTGTTGTTTTGGAAAAACTTGTTTTAGGATGAAAAATATTAATTAAATTGTATCCCTCTCCTCAATCACTTGGAATGTGGATCACACGATTGAATAAACCAATATCATATCAATATTATCCAATAGGTTTAGATTTAGATTTGTTATAATTATTTTAATTTATTAAGCCGTATTGTTTTTTAATTTCGTTCATAACAATATGCGAATCAGGGAATACAAGTATAGGGGCCACCGAGCACATCAGTTGCGTAAGGACATACCTATGCCCTATGGTGTGGGTAAGTATACACGAATTGCATTCCAAAAGATCCGGGACGTCAATTGGTATATTTTAAACGGGGATCCTTAAACAATTAATAATTCAAAAAATAACAATTATTTGATTATTGAATGCATTTATGTACTTACCTACCTAAAATCAGTGGTTCGACTAGAAAAACATTTCGGGGGGTTACAATGTTACAATGTGCATTCCAAAAGATCCGGGACGTCAATTGGTATATTTTAAACAGGGATCCTTAAACAATTAATAATTCAAAAAATAACAATTATTTGATTATTGAATGTATTTTTGTACCTAAAATCAGTGGCTCGACTAGAAAAACATTTCCGGGGGTTACGATGTTACATTATTACAATATATATACATATGCTAAAATATATTAGGCCTCAGAGAAATTTCGGGGGGAGGGGGTTACATCCACTTACCCCCCCCCTGGTTGCGCAACTGCCTATGATACATTATATGATATGTAACGAAAAACAAATATACTTACGTTAAAATGTTGAACCTAAATGTATTCTAATCAAAATCAATATTGTCAATAATATAAACATAATATAGCCATATATAAGCACTCAGGTAATGAATTCATTAATATAATAAAATATATTATCGTAAGTCAATCAAAAACGTGTTAGTCAAATATAATGAAAAATCAAATAGGTAAGCAAATGTTAAATACTTGAATCGTTGAATCACTTGAATATCTAATCAAAAATCGATATGTAGCAATAAAAGTGAATAAAAGTTAAAAAGTCAATTATAGTTAATAATACAATAAAATAAATAAATAGGTAGGTAATATAAATATAATCAAACATCAATGCGTCAGTTAGAAATAAGTTTATAATTTTTTGATACTTAATAGCTTTTTATAAACTGTAACCTTGTTT